CTTCGGTAAGTGGTAAGTGGGAAATTTTTGTGTAATTTTTGTGAGTTATCAAAATTTGTGTTGACACTTTACTCTGTGTGTTGAATTTTTCTCGGCGCGTGGGGCCTTTCGGCCTTCCAGCCACGGCAAGGCTGCATACGCGGTGGTACTGGTGGTACCGGGAGGAGGTACGGCGTCACCCGAACAACCGAAACAGGAATGTTGCCGTGCGGCCTTGAGCCTTGAACGCGGCCCGGGCGCTGCGCTGGCTCCGCTGGCTCGCTGGCTCGCTGGCTCGTCCCGTGGCCCCACCGCCCCGCCGCCTCGGCCCCCGGCCCTGGCCCCGGTGAGGAGTCAGTCGGGACCGCCAGGGAAACGCGTTCAACGTTTTGAAAGACCTTCAATCTGTAGGGCTTTGAGGAACGCGTAATTTGCCATCAGTATCGCGTCAGTCCATCGCTGGAAAACAAGCGCGGGACAATAGAGAGCAATCCCGAGCCACGAAGTACCAATCACCGGACGCCGCCCGGTGACTTCATCTCGCTTCATCGTTCCGCCGAGTGGCGGAGTGGCGGGCGAGGAAGGCGAGGCGAGTCGAGTCCAGCGCGCCGTGCTCCCCGCCCGGCCCGCAGCGCAGGCGAGTCCGAGGGGATGCCTGCCTCCCAGGCGTACTGAGCGGCCGGGTGAGCTGAGGCTAGCCAGCGAAGCCAGCGCAGGCGTTGGTGTGGTGGCCGGTGATGTCTCTGTCCCGCCCTGACCCTGCGGTCGAAACACTACCCCGCAATCCGCCTAGCGTGGCGCGGCGGGCGGGACGGGGCGGGCGGGAGGCCGGCTGGCGGCATCTCATGGGAAATCACCGTCCCCGCGGCGCGGCGCTGCACTGCGCTGGCGCATGGCTGGCGCCACGCTAGCACGCTAGCGCTGTGCACGGCGGGCTGCGCGCCGAAAGCGGTTTGCCTCGCAGCCCCGACACGCATTCTCATTAGGGACGGATGCATTCCCGGGAGTGGCCGACGGCTTGCCGACGGGGACGCGGCGGACGAGGCGCACGGGGCTCGCCATCTGTCCTCCGAGAGACACTCCGAGGCCTCCGCCAGGCCACCGTCATGCAAACAGGCCGGCGGGCACCACGGCGGGCCGCAACAACTGTCGTTTTCCAGTTTGCCCGCACCAAGCTCGCGTCGTTCTGTTCCGCCCGTGGAGGACAAGCCACCGCCACACATAGCCCTGGCCGCGAGGCTAGGCCCTGGCCCTGGACCCCGGCTCTCTTCGCTCTCCTTCTCCCTCCGGGGCCTTATCCGGCCGCCCCTACCACGGCCCAGCCTCCCCACCCCGTCACGGCTACATCGGCGCAAATTGCGCCACAGTGATTGAGAGATGACTTCATACACGCCGCACCGCGCCGCACCGCGCGAGGGGAGGCCGCTCTGCCGCTGGGGTGGCGCTAAAAGGCGGCGGGGGAGGGGAGAGCGATGGAGACGAGGATGGACGAGGGTAGACAAGGAGGGAAGACCGGCCCGGCTCACCCTCCGGCCGCTCGAGAGCACGACAGCCGACGGCCTGGCCATCCTGGCCAGCCTGGCCGTTGGACTGTGGTTCAAGGGGCTGGACGAGTTTCTTGGGGCCTTAGGCCGGCCCGTCGTCGTTTGGACCGCCACTCTGGACCGTACTAGGCGGCCCCGCCGAGACCGGCAGCCGCGCACGTGTCAACGCGAGGTTCGACGCGAAGCTCGACGCGAAGCGCCAGCGCGCCAGCCAGAGGGTTGCCTGATTGGCGGGGAGGGTCGGAATGCATAGCCCCCAGCGCCCGCCCACCGGCCACCTCGCTTATTGGATCCGGGGCCACACCCCCCGCCCCGCCACACCCCGCCACACCCCGCCACACCCCGCCACACCCCGCCACACCCCGCCACACCCCGCCACACCCCGCCACACCCGCCCACACCCCGCCACACCCGCCACACCCCCACACCCCGCCACACCCCGCCACACCCGCCACACCCGCACCCCCCACCCCACCCCGCCACACCCCGCCACACCCCGCCCACACCCCGCCACACACCCGCCACACCCCGCCACACCCCGCCACACACCCGCCACACCCCCCCACACCCCGCCACACCCCGCCACACCCCGCCCACACCCCGCCACCCGCCACCTCCGGCATACCCACCCTACCCCGCCACACCCACCCGCCACCGCCGCTCGCTACACCCCGCGTGGTGGAACGCGCCCAGGGTAAAACCAGGGGTCACCAGAGATGGAAAGACCAAGGGTATGGCGAGGGATGAGGAAAGAAAGGTGGGGTGTCCTATCATTCTTTTCGTGTTTTGACTGGCTATCCCATCGTGGTTCGAACCCGTTGCCTTGACCGTCGTGGTCCGTGGTTGCCAAGTGCGGAAAGGATCGGGCGATATTTTGGCTTCAAGCAATCCGTTTCACTGACCATATCTCATCTCATAAGCTGCGGGTGCCACGAGAGACAGGAGGGTTCGGCGTTCGACACCCACCCGGCACTGTCCGGAAATGTCCAAAATGTAAAAAATTGCTGGGAGTCGAACCCTAGCTCCCGGAGGTGCGGGTCGACGCCTCTGCGCGCTCGGCCGCCGCTGTTTCAAGCGACTATGCTGCAGGTCCCACTCGTGGCTCCACACTGTGGCATCCCGAGGAAATCATGATCACGCACAGGGGCTGGGGTTCGACTCCCAGCAATTCTTTACATTTTAGGAGTGGTTTTCCCGATGCGGTTTGGACCCGTTGCGCCACTCGGCTGAACGAGTGAGCCGCGGTGGCCGAACGTGTAGAGATGTTTCAATCCGACACGCGGATCGAGCGATCGAATACCAGCTTCCCGCTCTTTTTGTCTGACGATACGGTTCGGACCAGCGGCTTCAAAGCCTGCCCTTCGCCCAGCGTTGCCCACGGACCGTGGTGGCCGAGAGCGCAGAGGCGTCGGATCCCGACTGCGGGATCCGGGGTTCGGTACTCAGTACGGTATCGAATATTTTGACCAAGCTTGCATCGCAAGAAGGCGGTTCAAGTATACAAAATCGGCCGGCGTCCAGTGTGCCTCTCATAGCCCAGTGGTTCCGCTGCTGGGCAGGGTGACGCAGACTCCTGAGTACCAGTAGCATGGCCCCTGAGTGGGAAGGGGGCCGGGGATCGAAACCCAACTACTGAGAAAGGTGGCAGCCTGGCCTACTATGAGAGGACTCCTCCACATCACAGATGACGTGACCAATGACGGGGCCACTGCGGTTTAACTCTGAGGTTGCTCCTGTGATGAGATGGGGGAACTGTCTGGTGAGCACCACTCCCGCAGGGAAGAGGGCCGGTTCGCCGGGGTGCCCTCTTTCGCTGAAATTTTCTTTATCGTTTTGATTTTATTTTTGGTACTCTATTTTTGCGTTAAAATGTGTTTGGAAATTATTTAAAAGTGGAGAACAAACATGATCAAAACAAATTAACGGATCGGACAAAACGATGGGTGAGGGTCCTTGGCAGCACTAGGCGCGTGGTGCGTGGCGCCCCAGCCCTCTCCAGCTCCGCAGCACTACACTGCTGGCGAGGCAGCCGGGCAGCCTCCTCTCGGCTGGAGTTGAGCCCCCTTGTGCGCAGGGCGCAGGGCGCGCAGGCCGGGGTGGCCGTCGTTGAGGCGGGGCGGGGCGGCGGGGGGAGGGTCGCGGAGCCGCGCACGTGTTCGCCGAGGGGAATGGCGCGCGCACTTGACTTGCTCCCTTCATGAATGTAAGAGCGGCATTACCCACCCGGCGCCACCCCGCCCTCCTCCCCCGCGATGGATCCGGTGACGCTGCAGCGCGCTGGGGCGGCCTGGGGCGGCCGGGGGCGGCCTTCCCTCGCGGGATGGTGCGCCGCTCCTCCACCGCAACAGCGACAACTGTGGCGCCGACAAATAAATGTCGCGAGCGCGTTGACGACCAGGCCGCCTGTTGGCCTATGTCGATCTTTTCGGTCGAGGCTGTCGGATCTTGAACCTGTACATGAACCTGAGAGCAGTGCATGCATGCAAGTGTAGTGGCGTCTCATGGTCATGGCCTGTCCCGAGCAATGCCTCTTCCGACGTCACTGCCCTGTCGTGCATTGCCTCCTCGTCCGCGCTACTGCGCTACCCCGCAACTTCCTGGTGCTGCTTCCCCCAAAATGCGGCTGGCGGCTGCGACCATGGCTCCTCGGGGGCCGATGCCGATGGCATGCCGATGGCGGCGCCTCGGCCGAAGTGACGCGGCGGCTGGCCCCAAGGCTGACCCTCGCTCCCACCGACACTTTGGTTTCACGGTTGCTGCCAGCACCCTGACGGAGGCCGGCCGCGCGGTCCCCTGACGCTCCTCCCGCGAAGACCCGCGTAAAATGCGCGGAAAGGGGGAAAATGCACTCGGTCCGCGCGCTGCCTCCATGCCTCCATGCCCTTGGGGACTCGGGGATGCAGGCGGGCCATTCCAGCACCGAGCGGCTCTGTATATTTGATTGCAGCGTTCCGATCCACCTCTCAATCCCTCTCCCTCTCCCTCTCTCTCTTTCCAATACGCGGCGCGCAGCGCATTCATCATGCAGGAGCAGATCGCTGAGGGATCGCCGCGGAATCGCCGGCGCAGTTTTCACCGTTTTGGCCGTTTTTGCCGTTTTCGCCTCCGAAGACCATTTGGCGAGGAGCATCGCCACCCCTTTCTTATCCCCTCACTCTGCGAGTGTCTATGATTGTTTTCAAATGGACCGCGTTGGACCCGTGATGAAATCTATAATTGACGATGTCACTCACCAAAACATTGGCAGGAAAAAGTTTGATGGTGAAGCGAAAGGGTTCGCAGGGTTGGTTGGTCGAATTATTTTTCATCTTCCCATCCATTACGAGTGCACCCGAGAGTCGGCGAGGGGACGTTAGTTGAACAGCACATAGAATCGCTGCGCTTCGCCGTCTTTTCCTCTTTCGAAATACCTTTATCGCAAGCTGGCGGAAGCAACCGTTGCTCGATTAGATTCACGCTGTCCCAGAGCGCGGCAAGGGGAGGGGGGCAACGCTTGCGGCGCGATAGAGCTCGAGGGTCCGAGACGCTCAAGACTGCACAATCACAACCAGTTCAGAGGTTCAGAAGACGGAGGCTGCAGCTTGTTTCTTTCAAGGGAGCACATGATTCTTCCCCGTTTTTTCGGTAAGTCGTCGAAAACATCGCCACAGCGAGCAGCTGTTCTACGCGCTCTTTGCAAGAAAATTATTTATGCATTTGTTGTTCCTTGCAGGCAGACGTTGAACTGATTGAACTGATAAAAGAAGAAAGGTACACACAAAGCGAGGGAAATACACGAGGGGAATACACAATTGTCATATGTTCCAGTGACCAGTTACTGACAAAATGTTGGCACGCCACCGCGCCGTATCTTTGAGACCATTCCAAGGACAAGGTTGTGGTGCTGCGGCTCGCTCCACGCTCTTTCTCCTTCTCGTCAGAGTGGCTCTCTTGGCGGGCCGCGCAGCAGCAGCGTTGTCCTCCCTGGAGCACATGAACGCCAACCCCGGCGACATGATCTGGTGCAGGATGGGCCCCGTGGCCCACTGGCTGCTGGCCTCCGACACGCCCGGCTTCTTCATCAACGTGCAGCCCGGCTCGCCCTCGTACGTGGTGAAGGAGGTCCACTTCTCGGAGGGGGGCGGCAAGAGCAGCGTCAAAAAGTGTGCGAATCGCGGCCCTGGCTTGTTCGGCTCGAGGGCAGTGGCCAGGGCGCGAGAGCACCTCGGCCGGCCGGTGTACTACCACCTGCTGCGGTGCAACTGCGAGCACTACGTCAAGGCGTGGGCGGGAAAGCCCCTCTGCGCCAACCAGGCCATGTGCCCCAACAAGAAGTGCCGGCCGCATTTGCCCGCGTACACTTTCGATTCCCTGTCCGACCGTCGCATCTTCGATGTCATCTCGGCAAGCGCTCACGGCTTTGGTGACGCGATGTGAATGAAGACTTTTTCAAAATGAAGCCAATAAAACCACTTCTCAATCTCAAAATGAAATTTTTGAGCGGCGGAAAACTTCAATTTCAAAACTCTGTAGCATATTTTTGGCTGCGCCCCGGGTGGCACGCGAAGCCGCGCCGGGCGCCGCCCCACTGTTTGCTGGGCTTTAATATTGCAGTGCAGCCGGTGAGCGCGCGCCTCAGCGCCAGGGCGCCCCACCCCGCCCCGCCACGCCCCGCCCCGCCACGCCCCGGACTCTACGACCGCCCCCGCACAAAGGCCTCGTCAGCCCTCCCCACAGGACACAGCGAAAAGTCACAGAAACAATTGGACAGAGAACCCTTCGACCGGCGCGGTGTCTCTTCGCCATCTTCCCCGGCGTGCTCGGCGTGCTCGCCGTGACCGGGGCTGCCGGCGCGTTGCGTGACGCGAGTCCGTGAGGCGCGCCGTGAACGCGCGTCCATCCACACGGAATGAAAAATTCAATGCCGCCCCACGGGCCGTCCGGGCCGTCTGTCCGAAAGGCTGAAATCAGATCGTGCCGCGCGGAGGCACCGGATAATTGCAATTGCGTCACAGAATGAATGGACAAAGGGCCAAAATGAACTCGGCACCGCTCCTCCCGTCGAGCCAGTGCACGCAGCGCCACCACTGCACATGCATGCATGCAGTCGCTGAGTCGTCGACGCGGCGGCAGTGGCGGCAGTGCTCGGGGCCGACGGGGGCGTCGGTGGCGACGCCGCTGCCGTTGTAGGGCCTCGGGTAGAGCGTGCCGCTCGGCGTGCCACCCCTGGAGGGTAGGCAAGTGCGATCAATAAGCCAGCGAGCGGTGTAGAGCGGAGGGGCGGCGGAGGGGCGGCGAAGGGACCCGCGCTGCCGGCAGGGAGGGATGGGATGGCCAGGGTGACCAGGGATGACCGGCCGCGGGCACCGGGCAGCACAAAGCAGGGTATACCACGGATACACTAAATTCAAGGAGTCCGATTTGAGTCGCAACTTGTGCCAGGGCGGTCAAAGTGTGAAATCGACCCGGACCAGAATTCAACCAACACTCGTCGTGGCAATTCATCCAAAGAAGTCTGAAAGTTGGACGTGATGGAACGCTAGTCGCTGCTCGCGGAATGCTGCACCCTCCCCGTCGCCGTCTCCCTCTACGAACAATGTGAGACATTTCAGTGGAAGACATTCCCCTCGCTCGAAAAGACTCTTTCTTCCCTTCCCCCTTTTTTAGCAGTGTGCTTCCGCGGATATTTGGCCGCGCTCCGCCTCGGCCGGCCGCGTGGCGCCGCGTGGCTCCGTGGCGCCGGCGAGGCTCTCGCCCCGACAGACACGGCCTCATCACTTTTATCGCGGGGAGGCGCGTGCCGGCCGTGTCGGCCGAGTCATCCGCGACGCGCCGCCTCAAAGCCATGTGCAATCCGACCGGAAGAGGGTACAGCCATCGCGCGATGAATGTACCAAATGTACCCCCTCTGGCACCCCTCCCAGGTACACTTCTCCGAATGGTACATTCATGGCACGACAGGCGGGAGAGACCAACACGAAAGGCGACAAAGGTGACCACTGCCACTGCCCCTCGAACGGCAGCAACCGCGGCACGCAGCTCGCCGCATACGGGCTGGGCGTGCATGAGCGCCCGTTCCCACCGAACGCTATACTTGGCGGCGCTTCCGGCGCGGCCCGCGACGTGGTGCGCACACAGACACACACACACACACACGAGCGGGGTGCGGCCATGCGTCTTGTCTCAGCAGCCTATGGGTTCCGCTTCCGGTCGCGTGGCTGCCCCCTCCCACCCCCTTCACTTTTCCTCCTCCCCGCTCGGTGCGCGGCGTGGGAGCCGCGGTAGAACCCATCTGGGAGAAGGCAGTGGAGCGCCAGCGGACACGTCGACCAGCACGACCCTTACTTAGCTAGGCCTCTCGCCGAACCGGGCTCTCTCACACCAAAGACAGAGAGACGGTCCTTCGGGAGGGCTCTTTGACTACACCCTGTTACTCCCCTTGCTGCGCCTGCTACGCCCCTGGCTCCGGCTACGCCCCCGCCTACGCCCCTGGCTCTGGCTACGCCCCTGCCGGCGGCGGTGGTTATCGCCGCGTCGTGCATCCCCGCCGTTCCCGGGCGCGCCGAGCCCGCCATCCCCACGGAGTAGATGTCTATCGCGCGCGTGCCGCGTGCCGCGTGCCGCGTGCTGCGTGCCGGTCGCGTGGCCCTACACGCCGCGGCGCTCGCGCGGCCCGCGGCCCCAGCGTCCAATTTCGCTGCGCCGTAGCGGCTTATGGTGTTTGTGCAGGTGCAGGAGGGGAGGCTCCGAGCCCCGGGCAGCGCCACGCTCGCCGCGCCGCGTGAGAAGCAGGTTGCAGTGGGGGAGACGGCGGACGGCGGACGGGACGAAAGAGAGACCAAATAAGTGTAAGTCCCGGTCCGGCTTCCAGGCTCCGGCTGCAATCGCCCGGCAGCTAGGCATCCGTCGCGCACGCGTGCGCTGCATCGCAGCGACGGCCTACCTGCCGGGCGCTACACGCCGGACGCCGCACCCGCCAGAACGGAAGCATGCTTCGCGTCGCGCCGGCCGAGCGGGGCGTGGCGGGGCTCTCCGTTCGTCAGTCTGCGCGTGCAGAAACTCTGGCGCCGATATCCCGGCTCGAAAATCCGAAAATACCGGCGCGCCGCCGCGAGACGCCGCGGTTTTACTCCTCCGCCCCGAAGCATGTCCGTCACCAGCGCGACGAGTGGCGGCCTGGCGGCCCCGCCAATGTACGACTCTGTGGGAACATCAATATTTTCCCTTCCGCCGGCGCGCTGGCCGAGAGGAGAGCAGCGGAGGCCCGGCCAGGGCCGCCTCGCGGGACGGACGCTGACAGGCTGGGTAGCAGGACGACGAGGTTCTACGCCGCTAGAGAGCGAGCTGCACGCGGCGGGGCCAGGCGGGGCGGGGCGTCTCCTTTGCGCGACGCTAAAACACGAATCAAGCGTGTTTTAGTATCCATTTAATAATCCGCGCACGCACTGCCCGGAGAGGGATGGGGCGGGGCGGGGCGGGGCGGGGCCGCACTAATGAACATCGCGAGGCACGTGCCGCGGAGGCGCCGCGCGGCCGCCACGCTCCGGCCGCGATCCGTCCCCTGGGGGAGCCGGGCCAAGGCACGCCAAGGCAGGGCGGCCGGTGCGTCATCGCCGTCCTCGCCGTCCTCGCTGAGCCGCAGAGCCTTCCTGAGCTGAGCTTTCCCGAGCTGAGCCGTCCTGAGCTGAGCCGCGGAACCAACCGCATCTCACCGTCGCCACTCGAAACCTCGACGCAGGAAAGCCGACGGAACGCCTTGAAACCGTGTTCCCCGTCTCAACCCCAGTTTCGTTGAAGACACTCTCGTCGATGAATCCGTCCTATCCGTCCGAATCCGAGCACCACCGCCCCGGAGGGGGTCGCGCAGGGTCGCGCCACGCGCGGGCAAGGCGAGGGGACTCGTAGTTGCACGTGCGTGGGGCTGGGCCGAGCTGGGCCGCACCACCGAGGCCATTAGGAAGATGAAGTCGGGCGGGGCGCGGGGTCATTCCCGTTAGTGGTCTTCCACGCCCTGGCGGACACCGCCTCGTCAACCCGCCGGCGCGATGCCATCCGGGCGCGTTGCGCAGGGCGGCGGCCGAACGGTACATCACCCTTTCCCGTGTGAGTGTTGGGCCGGTTTCTCACATACGCAAGGTCACGAAGAGGCCCGTGCTTTTGCTTTTGCCTGTTATTCGTGTGGCCGTCGAGTCGAGGCGGTCGTCATCCCGCCGCCGCGTCCACACAGCCGCCCTGGCGCCGTTTCTCACGGATCCCCACCGCGAACAAGCGGTTCAAGTCGGCGATGACGTGGGGCGCGGGAAGCGGGCCGCGGGCCGGGTTCATTAACTAGCGCTTAGCCGAGGGTGGCCGAGGGTGGCCGAGGGTGGCCGCCAAGCCTTGCCCGGCCGGGCCCCTTTAGCTGCACCGCCACCTCGCCATGTGACGTGCGGGCCGAGCCCACCGAGCCACGCCAAGCCACGCAAATCCAGGCGCGCTGCGGCGCTGCACCCGAGGCTGCTCCCCGCGTGCTTGACTCGCAATAACGCGGGGATTACGACGAGCAGCGCTTTCGTCGCTCTGTCTCCCTCGCACTCATGGGGCGCTCCGTTCGGGTGCGAGAGCGACAGAGCGTCGAATGAGTCTGCAATGAGCGTGCAGTGCCGCAGTGCAGACGGTGACCGCGGACTCCATATTCCAGGCAAGGCGAGTGCGCCTTGCGGGCGAGGGCGAGGGCGAGGCGGCCCTATGTGCCTTAGGGGCTGGCAGGCTGGCTGCGGCACGGCGGAGAAATCGATGCAGCCCCTGGGCCCTCAGCCGCCCCACCCTACGCCCACCCTATGCCCACCCCCGCGGTCCGTCGGCCCACCCCGCCGCGGTAAGCGCGCCCCAGCCCTGGGGCGGCGCCAAGCACGGCCAATGGGGCGCTCCGCTCGCGTCGGCCCTGCCGGCCCTGCTAGGCCGCGCGGGGAGGGGCTCAAGTAAAGCAGCTCAAAGCACCCCAGACCAGCCCCTGCACTGAGAAAAAGCTGCCGAACTAGCTGCTGCACCCGTTGTTGCAATGTTCAACATCATAGTAAGAGACACAAAGTCCAGCTCAAATTACACTGTGTTCAGTCGCCTGCAAATAGTTGGGGAATGAAGAAATTAAGCCAACCTTTTTAACACTGTGTCCAGTCGACCTATCCACTCGCTTGCCAGTCTGCAGGCTACCATGCTACAACAGCACTGTGTCCGGTTTCCTGCCGAGCTGAAGTATTCAATAAATAAAATGAATTCTTTGCAAAGCACTGTGTCCGATCAATTCTTCAACATCATAGTAAGAGCTTTGCAAGCGCGCCTTCGTTAGTTTGGGGTGTCGGGGGACGGACGCCCTTTACGCTGCACCCGCGGCACGGCCACGGGCAGGAAGAGACCCCGCCCCGCCCCGCCCCGCCCCGCCCAGACGCCACGGCGCCGCGGTGGTGCAGGGAGCGCGTGCGCGTTACGCCGAAGGCCGCGCAGCCGGGCCGCAGAGCGGGCACGATGCTTCAAGCCGTCAAACCGTCGAGGCGCGGCAACTTCCCCCGCCGGGGATCGAACCCGCAACCGCGGCCGCCACACCACGCCCCGCCTGCCCCGCCCCGCCTTGGTCCCAGGAGCAAAGCAGAGAACGCGCGGCAGGCAGGACGGGGCGGGGCGGGACGGGGAGTCCAACGGAGCATATGTCGCATCGAGACGTCAGGGCCGTCAGGGTCGTCAGGGGCAGGCAGGGAGGGAGCGGTGTCCCCCAAGGGATGCTCTTCCCTCTTGCTAGTGCAGGTGGCGCCTGGTGGCCGCCAACCCCGCCGGATAGTGTATGCAGATTAAAAGCTAACTGTCGCGCCCCTCCCCTCCCTCGCCGCCACACACCGACAACCAACGCAGCACCCCGCCGCCGCAGAGGCGATGGCTGGGGTGGTAGGCGCGGGGAGGCGCAACTTCTTTCGTGACAAGTACCTTACAAAAATGTTGAAGGGAGGTCCCTCCGCTCGCGATTGTCCCTTGCGAGGATAGACTCCGAAGACTCCGCTGCTCCGACTCGTGCAAAAATTGCGGCCCCACTTCCTGAGCCTCACCTGAGCCTCACCTAAGCCGTGTTCATGGCAATCGCGGCAGGGAGTCAAACTAAGTCAAACTCCACTCGCCCGCTGCCGCTTCACCAATCGCAAGGTGTGGGTTTGGCTCTGTTGGTGCAGTGTCTGCAAAACACCGGTCTACCCGTTCAACTTCCCTTCCCCACGGTGTCGGCGTGTCGGGCAGTAGGTTGTGGAAGTGTTGAGCCGCCAAATTTTCTCATCCTTTAACGACTGAATGCATTAGACCGGTCGAGACCAGGCAACCCGCTCCCGCTCGCCTGTCCAGTGTAATGCGCCGAGCCGAGTCTGGGGGTGGCGGTGGCCGTGGCACCGCGTAGCGTGGCAGGGGCGTCAGCTGCAAGCAGCCCCACTGGCCGGGCTCCCCGACCAGTCCCCGCGCCACGAGAACACCCCAGCCGTCCCGACCGCCCCGGCCATCGCGCCATCGCGCCGACGACCAATCGGGGAAGGACCACACCGCCCTGTCACGTCATGTCATGGCCACACCGTCATCGCATGCCACCATTTCCATGTGTTGGCATGCCGCGCAGCACCGCGAGGACAAGTCATCTGGCGCGAAGTTAGGGAGAACGTGGGGCAGGCGTCGGGCAGGCGTGGTTGGCGATCCTCCTGGTGGTTTATGTGGCCTCCGGGGGGTTTGCTTACCTACCGAGACATGCATTGCGGGTCGCCTATTTTCAGGTGCTTTGGGACAGGTGCTTCGGGGCGGTCATCGCCTCCTCCCTAAGAAGTCTGGTGTGGCGGCAGAGGGATCGCATTTAGTGCAAGAAAGGGTCCAGAAATGGTCCAACGAAGAGGGACTGTGCTAGTATTTGTATCGTTGAGCCAGTGGTAGCCTGGGGGAAGGCCGGAGACCGCTGGACGCACTGCACCGGTTCGAACGAATTTAAGCCACTGACGGTGTTTGTATTAAATTGTAAGTGATTCATGGATGACGGTTGGGGAAAACAAAAGTCCTCATACAGTATTTACTTCCACATATATAAGATTTAATTCATCATTGATTTATTTACAGCATAAGGGACGGGTCTTATGCTCATAAGTGAGGAGTTTAACAGACTCTTAAAAAGTAGTGCCAGCCTTCAAATAGAATTGCTTTGAGATGTACTTCTTACACAAACACTACAGTGCAGGCCAAATTTTTCAAGTGATTCTTATCTTAACTGAACTAATTTAGAGATTTATATTGAAAAATCAGACAACTGAGATATCTATAAAGATTAACATTAAAAAACAATAAATGATTCTACAGTGCATACAAAACTGAGAAAACACACAAAAACATGTGTGCTAACAAAAAGGCACAATTTTTCACTAATACAAATGGAGAAGGCACATAACAGTGATAAAACATAAGGCCCACATTGGCATTAATGCGTGACAGGAGAGTATGCAGTGCATTAAATTAAAGGCGAGAAAATAAAAACAAATTAATACTCCGTTTGGATCCATCTACGTGGAAACTTGAATTACAGTCCAATTTCTTTAAAACAAAAGTAAGGAAAACACAACAGAGATCAGCAACTCATGATTACATACATGCCTACATCAACAATAAATCAGAATGCTCTTTAAGAAAAAAAAAAAAAACAAGAAATAAAAAAGAATTTTTCATCAGTCACATGAACAAACTACAATACAAAAGATTGTCAACTTTCTATATACTCTGAATCAATACATCTACCAAAATAACACTCTATTGCAGAAAACTTACAGTAATACCCTTGTCATTTTAAAAAGTCTGTCTATTGCTCATTTTGGTGTCTTAGACACTGCAGATGTTTCTGCACAACTACACCTTTCCAGTAATGTTATCATTTATTTCCCTTCAGTACAGTCATCTCTTTCTTCAACTCATAGTACCAAACATAACATTTTAAAAACAGGGTTTCAGTGGTACAATATTCTATAGGTTATCACTGATAGAACCCTATACAAACATTTTGCTTTCAAAGCTATAAATTTATGCTCAGAGAATATGCACAATAGTAAAACTTGGCATCATACTTAAAAGAGACAGAAAGGTTATCACTGATAGAACCCAATACAAACATTTTGCTTTCAAAGCTATAAATTTATGCTCAGAGAATATGCACAATAGTTAAACTTGGCATCATACTAAAAAGAGACATAACATTTTTAAAGTTCTCATAAAGAAATTTAGACTGTAAATATACTGCAACAAATGAAATTTCTATAACATTGTATGTACAAACTTTAATTAACTTTTGATATATTTCTTATTGTACAACAGGTAAATGATAACAGCACATTGCAAACACGTCTACACAGTCCAGAAAAAAAAAGAAGCTAAAGCAGTGAAACAGTACTCAGATGAATGATATGATTTATGTACATACAGTTTATGGTTTCCATACCTTCTTGATTCTAGACTAGTTCAACGATCTTCCGAGGAAGCCACACATTACACACCAGACACAAGCACAGTTGCTTTAACTTAAACTTGGAACACAAACTTTTGATGAAAGAGGAAAGCAACACAAGACTGTGTTCTAATGAAAACAATATGACAAAAGAAATATGCAATATGTTGATCTTCCAAAACTAATCTAAGGTAGATTGGGGATGAAAAGAGTAACTAAAAGGCAGAGTAAAAGTAGTCTAGTTAAAAAGAAATGGAAGAAAATGTTCAAATTGACTTCAAGTTGTTCGTTGAAGACAAACTTCTCCATTATCCATCCAGTTCTGATAAGATGTCTGACACTCTTTACTTGTCCAATGTGTCACAAGAAGGTGTGTTTCAGACTCCAAAGCAGCATCAAATTTGGTGCGGAGTCCATGTCTGAGAAGAGCTTTCGTAGCTTCCATTGACTAAAACACAAACAAAGCAGAAAAAAATTAGCAACAGGCATTAAAAAGTTGGCAAGAAAAAACACTGAAGAACTAGATGAACAGGAGAAAATCATTATATATGTTCTTCTTCATCAGCAGAAGGATGGAAGAGGGCCAAAGGGAGAAAAGAACCACATTGTTTACAAACTGAAGCATCTCTCTGTTTACACAATCTTGCTGAGCCTGGCAGCAGCCAGGGCGTAACCCAGGTCTAATAATACCGGACAGAAGAGCACAGTCTTGCAAGGCAGCAGCATGCACTTTTTTATCCTCTCCAATGTGTTAATTTCAGGGACGGTTTTACTATTCCAAGTGGGATGTTTTGCTTCAATAGATGAGAAATTATTGGCAGTCCATTTTGAGTACCCTGGCCCAGTAAGTAGCTCACTCACTTCTTTTACACTTAAAATGGATGAAATTTTCTTTATTACTATCATAAAATTGAAAAAAATGACCAGACCACTACGGAGCAACTAGAGCATGGCAATCAAACCACTAATAACATATTAAAATGATATCCAGGCTATTAGTGAAAGAGACCTTCCAATATGCACATCCTATGCAGTCTGTAGTGTGCTGCACAAGCGGTTCTGGATGTCTCCAATTGTACAGAGATTGTGCAGGTGCTTACGGGTAGAATGTCCTTACGAATGGTCGGACTATCCAGAAAATAAAACCATGCACCTTGACAACAGAAGTCAGTTGAAGGTGAAAGAGACGGGGACATCATTGCGTGAACTTGCAAAACTCAAATATTACAACTAACAATGAATAATGTATTTTACAGTTTTGTGATGATGTGAGTGAGTTGTCTGAATGTGGCCAAAATAAGCTAGCCCTTACAGTGGCCATAACAACGACAGAGTTGGAATCAACTCCTGTGAGCCCCACCCCAACAGTTGAAGAAGAAAGAAAATTGTCAGTTAATGTGTCATGTTTCTGCCCATCTGCATTTGCCTGGGAAGAGCAGCCTCAGAAACAAGTGATTCAGAATCCAGAAAATGGAACAATCATAGTCACTCAATACATGTGCAAACCGGTAAGTCTTACGTATTTTCTTTTTCCCTACTAGTGTTTATAATTTCAGCTTGTTATTGCACTTTTGGGGTTTCAGATGCAAAAATGTTCAAGTTCAGAGTTTTGCGGCAACATTCGAGCTGATTACTTTTCCACCTACTACCGATGCTCATGCCCAATAGGGCACATGTGCTTGAACAAAAATCGCACTATGATCAAGGGCAATGAGTTGTTGTATGAAGGGCAAGTTTACCAAGCCTTCTGCTACCCACAGTAAGGATTAACCTTTTTCTACTGCTGCTAATTATTGCTTCTATAGATGTGTGCTACTGATAAGATGTTTGAGAGTAAACTAAAATAAACAAACCTGTGCAGACTGCTGAGCAATTTTCTTGATGATAGGAATCAATTCCTCCATGAATCTATCAGGCCACAGAATTCGTGTCACCAACCCACATTGCAGAGCTTCATTTGAAGTCATCTTGCGGCTATTCAGAAGTAGTTCACTTGTCTGTAGGAGAAGATAAAACATGTATTTTACTTGGCAACAGAAAACAAAATGGTGCCGGGATTATTCTTTGATGTTCAACTTACAGCAGTATGTCCGAGCAAGTGAGGCAGAGTGAGAGTTGCTCCACCCTCAGGTACTTGGCCCAACTCTGCATAAGGTGTGTGGAACGTAGCCTTATCACTCGCAAACACCATGTCAAATAAGGGAAGCATGGTGACTCCAAGACCAACAGCAGATCCCTGGACACCAGCAATCAGCGGTTTAGGGAAATGAGCAACACACTTCAGAAAATCCCTGAAAGAACAAACACAAAATGAATAATTAAATAAATAAAAAACAAAAACAATGACTCAAAACAAATGAAATGCCCTAAGAAAAGTTAACTTACTTGAGAGCTAATGACATTTCAAATGCAGCTGTCTTTCTTTTCTCATTATTGTTGTGGACAAGAGCTGATAAATCAATGCCTTGGCAAAAAATTGATCCAGTAGATGTCAGCAGTACCACTTTACATTGATCATCCTTCCGCACTTGTTGCAAAGCATCACGAAGTTCTCGAAGAACCTAATAAAGATATAAAATTTAATACATGGAAACAACTAGAAACATTAACATCCAAAGAATCCAATGATATAACAGCTAGTTGGCAGACACTATACCTGTATATTCAATGCGCTACTCATTTTGGTAGAAACTGGAGCAAGTATCACATGGAAAATATTGTCATAGCGACGAACTGTGATTTCCTTGTAGTTGTATGTTCCCGCACAATGTCTTGCTGTGGCTCTTTGCCTTTCTTCCACAGAGCCACCTTTCCCTTTAGGTTGAAGACTTTTGAGCAAGTTTGAATAGCCTGTTGGAGACACACAAAATAGGGGCCCGGTGACGCAGGTTGCACAGCTGGCCAAGCAAACACCAAAGGGGCACTCACACGCCTCGCCTGCAAAATAAATCACATATTGCCACTACAGTGCAAAAACAGCACTACACTAGGTACAAACACTTCTACTCAGCCTACTTGTCTACAAACTCATGCAGAACAAACCTTATTCCACTACATTTTCTATTAAATAAACTTGAAAATTGGTTAATTAGGAACTGCAACACCCAGAGAGCCATGCTCTGGAGGCTTAAAAATATGACAGACTTATGATGGTGAGAAAAGCACACTACCACTGAATTTCAGGTGTCTAGCTTATACTGCACCAATGTGATGGCAGATACAGTATGTAAAAGATTTGTGCAAAGCAATAGCAATATGGGTGGTTTCTGGCTTGACTTGCTTGCAATGCTAAGAAATCAGGAGATGTGGCCATATAATTTCGCAAGTAATAGTAACTGATCATTAGTACAAGAGAAAATACTGTAGAAACTAAACTATTTTTAACAAATATCTTCATACATACCAAGAAAAGGTATGAAAGCGATATAGTAAGTAACAAATAGAAATTATAAAAGGAATACAGGTTGATAATTTAAGGCTTCATGATGACCATGCAAAAATATTGGACTCTTGACACGAGAACACAATTCAGCAAGCTAAGATATTACCAGATCTTTAACCTCAACCCTTATCTATACTACCAGTTTCAAAAGAATAGATAGAAAAAAAAATCACCGATATTGCATTTTTTAAAAGTAATGACCAAAGTGAAATTTAATTCCAATAGACTACAGAGCATAAGGTGATTGACTGCTGCCATCAAAGTATCTACACTAGTGAAATGCATTGTTGAAGCTACAGCAAGTTAAACAACTTCAGCTACATAAGGAGTGTGGAGTCAACACATGCCATGGGTATCATACCAATGCAGTGGCAACAAGTAATTACATTCTGCGGGTAAACACTGATGAGGGCTGGGACACAATGAGGTTCTGCAGTGAACGTGCAGCACATCACAGTTGCCCTTGCAACAACTTACAGACAAGCTATCACCGACAGGGGCAATTAACATGTATAAAAATACTTTTTTTTTTTATTACTTTGAAAGTACTGAGATAAAACGTTAGTAATAGGAGTTATAAAGTTGGGTTGAATCTCTAACTCCAGTCACTTTGTTAGGAACCCTGAAGTATTATCTTATAGAAAAAAGACAGTAGATAGGTTTATAAGCAAACAAAATACACTTACTTGCAGCGTCAGGGCTGAGTTGCACCGAGCTCTTTTTGCCCTCTTGCTTAATGGCAGTAGGGGAGATTGGCAGTGCATCCTCCTTGTTCTGTTCCTCCACTTCACGTTGAACTTGAAGGAGCTGCTCAGCTGCCTTCTGAGCTTTGGCAAGTTCCAGAGCTGCCTTCCTTTCAGCGAGCAATTGAGCTTTATGAAGTTTAGCCAGTTTCTTTGCAGTGGCTGTACTCATTCTGCCATTAACTTCCACACTTGACTTGGCCTGGGCATCTAATATCGCAGCAGGATTCGGCAATAAATTGTACTTTTTATTCTGAAGCTCCAATAATTTTTTCTTGATGAAGGCAGGGTCTAATGCAGGATTTAGAATTTTGGGTTTCTTCTTGCCATCATATGTGAGCGCTTTGGCCTTGTCACGAATGAAAATTGGAACTCCCTTCTTCCTTGGGCTGCTTGGTGATCTCTGAGAAGTTGAAGCTTGCTGCATATTTGACTCTTCGACACTGACTCTCCGAGGGCTCACACTAGGGCTTGAGAATGAACTGCTTGAAGAGTGACGACGAATGATGCGAGAGTCATCGGCAGTCAATTTTTGTCTAGGAGAGAACATCTGAGAAGCACCTTCAACTGGTGTCAAGTAAGGTGGTGATCGCATGGCATCAAAGGATTCAGAAGAATGATTTCTTTGTTTTCGATTTCCACTCATCTTCACTAGTTTTGGTGGCTCTGCTACATTCATGCTACGTCTAGCCCGTAGAGAAACAGGCATGTGCCCCTGTGAGGTTGTGCTTAGTCGCATCACAGCAGTTTTCACAAGACGAGTTTTCAAGGCCAAGTCTTTGCTGCCCTTCCGCTTGTGACCTTCGACAGAATAGAGCATGTTGACTGCTCCCTCATCACCCAAAAGGTGCTCCAACTCCCGATTGATTCTAGTCGGTTTCTTTTGCTGTGGCTGAACATCTGCATGCTCTTCAACTGGATTCAAAGAAGGAACTGCTTCATCCACTTCCATTGGCTGATCCTTGGCCACTTCTGTTGCATCCTCATTGTTTATCTCACCAGATTTTTGCTTCACTGCTGGTGCTAAAGCTTGAGATCTTGGAGGAGACTTCTTGTCATCTTTAGGAGTCTTACTCTTTGCTTGAGGTGGTTTAGAAGCAGTCTTTTTGGGTGTCTCATCTTCTGTTTTACCCTTACTTACTCTCTTTACCACCTTCTTTTTATTGTTGTTATCCGTATTGCCATTGGTAACAACCTCAACATCAGTCTTTGGTTGAGGAGTCTTCCTATTGCTTGCAGTCTTCTTCTTCCCTGTTTCAGGTGTTTTACCAGAATCAACTGCCTTACCAGAGTCAGCTGGAGTGCTTGGATTGGGGACAGCCTTGCTTCCTTTGGTCTTTGCACTTGGAATTGCATTAGGCACAGGCTCCTTCTTGGACAGTTTTGTTTTTTTCAGTACAGCTTCTACTTCCGGAGTCATCTTTCGCTTCCTGTTTGATGACGGTTTCTTTCCAGAATTAGCAGTAATTTGAACTGATGGTGGTGCCTGTTCTACTTGAATTGAATTGTCTGATGGAGTAATATTATCGGGTGGAGGTATTGGTGCTACTGGTGTGCTTGGCAATGTTGATCCCGGTGTCACAGGTGGTGCTGGAGGTGCATTCTCGGCACTTCCTCCATTTGATAAGCCTGATGCAAGTTCCGGGTTGGGAACATTTGAAGAGAGCTCTGGAGCAACTTCTTCAGCATCTTTTCTCGCTTTAGCACCTTTGCGCGGACGCTTTTCCTGATTCATCAAAGCAAATAACTAAGAAGTACAGACATCTACAAGACAAACCAAAGACACAAAAATCAACTTACCGGCTTATCCTTCTTTTCTATTTTTTTTGATGGAAATGCAATGGGAAGTTCCATGAGCTGCTTCAAAGCAAGCTCTTTTTCAACAGCTGGATCCAGTTTAGGTGGAGAAAGTTGAGGAGGAGCTGGAGATGGGGTTGGTGCTGGAACAGGACTTTGCCCGGCTGCCACAGGGGCAGTACCAGGAGCAGGATTCTCTGGTTTCCGAAGTAACTTCTCGGGGAGCCACAAAGGGTCACCATCACCTTCTAAAATGGACAGCAACTCAGCATCGTCCAACGCCTTATCCTTCTCATTGTAAGTAAAACCAGGGGACAAGCGCATCCCGTCAGCAATGGCAGGGCTTTGCTGCAAATGAAACAAACTTGTTAAAAACAACAAAAAAAAAATTTGGAATAAAAAAATTACACAGCAATAAACCTTATTTGGTAGAAGTGCTTTCAGAGCTCCACCAATGGAGTCGGGAACAATTGGTGCTTTGGGTTTAGTACCAGAAGACGTGATGGAACTGCAAAGACGCTGAGTCAACTTCCTTGTAAATATCTCTGTTTTGGGGATAACTGGTGGACCTATTGGATAGAAAGATAAATATTAAAAATGTATAACTTGCTATTATTGAGCATGAAAAGTATATATTTTCATGCCACTGGACACAGCAACACTAACTTTCTGCAATACTCTGGACCATACTAGGATGCTTTTTGGCAGTACGTTCAAAAATCTCCTGGGCAATTTCATTCTGTGTGACTATTTGGCTTGTAAGATTCCGGTAGGGCACTTTCACACCCAGTCGCGGTTTTTGTACACGTCGTCCAGGAGAGATGTCAGCAGACGGGTTTTCAACAGTTCTCCCGAGTACATGAGGTGGTAGATGGTATGAAGTAGTACTTTGCTGGCTCTTTTCAGATTGAGCATCAGAGTTAGCTTCAGAGTAAGTCTCTGAGGCAGTTTCTGACATTGTTTCTGCCGACAAATCTAAAACAAAGTCAACTTTATAGTACAAACATCTTGAAGCAGAGATATATGCACACACCCACAGTTGCCCAAAACCAACATACCAGGAGCAATTGCATCTATATCATTGGACCCTACTAGTCCACCAAGAGACTCAAATTTTTGACTCCCTGGTGCAACTGTCTTTGAACCAGTGTCATTGGAAGGTGAAATCGTATCTTCCAGCATTTCTGAAGTGTCCTCATCTATTGGATTTGGATCATCTACCAACTCTTCTTCTGCAGCCAGAATCCGGTCAGTAGCAGAAGTATGCTGTTTTGAATGCACAGGAACCAGTTCCGTCAGACTACAAGAATCTTGCTCCTCAGTTTGTTCAGGGTTAGTGACCGGAACAAGGACTGGCACCGAAGGCAAGAGGGGCAGTAAGCCCGAGGCTCCATCTTGCTCCATTTCTACGTGTTGGTTGAGCTGTGCAATGTGCAATTTTACACTGCGCTAAGCTCTGCCAGAGAGGCGCAAATACATAGCTACCAAACACTATAAAAGCTTGGTGAGGTAATAAAGGCCACTGATTTTAAAAGGAACTGCAAAAAGAAAGAAAAACATAATGAGAACAAAATAAATGAAGCAGTGGGAAACAAAAAATAAAATTTTAACACAGCTGTGAATTGCGTTTTAAAAGCAGTGGCAGAATGGAAGTAGCATGCATAGGACCACCTTGTATTTATTTAAAATCAAAATGGAAGTAACCAAGATCTAAAGAGCGAAGAAAATGATTAAAACAAAGAAAACTGAAGGACTGGAAAACACAAGAAAGCGAAGAGCTTGCAGAAAGTAACGTCACTAAGTTAAAAACGTTCTTGGCCTCATTATAATACTAAGTGCAAAACTAACAATCCTTAGTTTAAGTCACATATTAAAATGGAATTTAGAAAATTGACGGTGGTTACAAATAAATTCATCTAAGATAATTAGGCCAACTGGAATTAAAAATGCAGTTGGTAAAATTAGTCCTGTGATCCAGAGAGGTCAGATACTTGAGGACAGTATAGAAACATGTATTGGAAACTAAGTGAGGTTTTAAAAAAAATTGCCGAACATAGTGAAAAGGAGAGGCAGGAAACATTCATAAACAACTATAACACTAAGTAGAATAAGACAGAGTGCATCACACTGACAGTATATGAGATGCACTATTGGTCAAACGACGAACCTAACCCCGGAACTATGGGCTACACAATTTAAGCACAGAATGAGATACGCGCTCAATGTAAAAATTTAGATAGAGTTAAGAAAATATCATAACGAACCATCGAAAGATAAAGGCCTACTTTTCAAAAACTTTCCATTAATCTTGCCGAAAAATCAAAAAGTTGGTAAATAAATGCACCTTTAACATGGCTACGTCACAGACCGTCACCTGATGAGACAAAATTAACGGCAACTACCAATCGAGGCTCTAAAATTTCACAACTAGGAATGCAAACACTACACCAGTGTTCATTTAGGACTCATCACAAATAAATTTTAACCCGGCTAAAGCGCTTTCCTTCAGCCATTCACTAAGTTTTCAAGGCCTACTTTTTAGGCTGCAGTACACCGTCGGACACACGAGAGGGAGGAGGGAAGAGAGGCGATTCTCGAAACGAAACCACGAAAAAGTAAGGCCGATTGGGCAGGAGCTAGCAGCTTAGGGAAAGCAAGAAACAAGTCTGGTTGTCCTAGACTTTGTTGAATTTGAATCGGGACTGTACATTTACCTTTAAAGTGCCAAGAAGGCGGTCAAACTACGCGCATGCAGAATGCGTTTACTCCATTTCGTAACACATGCCCCCTGCAATGGGGCCAACGTAACTTTACGCCAAGAAATCTACTTCGGAAGGTGTTCCAATGAAATTCAGAGTCCACAGGTTTTTTACTAATTCTCTCAAGAATGTGGAACTTGAGATAATTTACAAAAATAGAATGACTTAGTCCGTTGGTCAATTGTTGGACAATTCACCATTCATGCAGTGTTGGTGCGAATACCAACATCCGTTCCCACGATAGTGGGAGTGTTGTTGGTTATTATTACTCGTACCAGTTATCTTTCGTACTTTGAAGTCAGCTTTGTTCGTGGCTGACGTTTGTTCTGTTCACGCCGAGACTCCTTTAATGGCGTAACTTAATTTATTTTCTTTCAGTCCAATTTTGAGGTGTGAATTGTGAAGGACACCCCGGCGAAGAGTCCCTCACACTTCACAGTTTTTTGCTTGTTTTCCTCCCGTTATTTTTTTACTGGAGTGATCTGGAGAGTGATTGGGCATTCTTCCCCCAAGATAAGCCAGTCAAAGGTAGGTGTCGTGCATACGTGGACGCTCCAAGTCAAGAAAACTTAATATTTGGTATCTCTGTTATTTTTCTACTTTTTTTGTCATACAATCAACAGGTATGCTTTTTAGAAACAACTGTAACTTCAAAAGGGCCAGTTTTTTACTCAAATTCTGTCAGAGATGATATTAATATCATATATCATGTCTCTCTTTTTGTTACTCATGTCATGTAAAATAATTTTCAGATCCATCAGCATGAGCCAAAAAACCTATCAAACTTTGGCTGTGACAGTTCAGGATGGTGTGCAAGTGATACGACTAAATCGTCCTGAAAAACGAAATGCTATTAACCAAGATGTAAGTTTCAACTCCTCAATTTTATTCTTATTTTGTTTGTAAAAGTGAATGCATTAAGCACTTGTCTAATCTGTCCCCAGATGTACAGGGAAATCCCAGAAGCCTTGCTGGACGGTGCATTGAATAATGATGTTGTGGTAACGGTAATCACTGGCTCAGGAAGTTATTACTGCAGTGGTAACGATTTGAGTGGTTACCTAAGTTGGTCTGGCTCAGATTTGGAAAAAACTCTTGAACAGGCAGCTGCCATTTTACGGTCAGTTTTATTTTCCCTTTTCTATTTACCACTTTATTTGAACCACGGTTTATTTTGATCTTCAATTTTCAGGACATTTGTTCAGTCATTCATCGATTTTCCCAAAATTTTGGTTGGCGTAGTTAATGGGCCAGCTGTGGGGTTGGCCACAACTACTCTTGCTTTGTTTGATGTTGTCTACTGTGCAAATAATGTAAGAGAATGTTAAAGAAAATGTTGGAACTGTTTGAACTTTTTACTTCAAATAACTGTATCTCTTTACTTCAAAATTTTTCCAGGCTACATTTTCTACACCATTTACTGCATTGGGATTGACTCCAGAAGGATGCTCCTCTTATACATTTCCAAAGCTGCTTGGACCTCTTAGGGTCTGTACTATCTGACACTGTGATGTTCAAAGTTCAATTGATTTGTTAAATTTCCCTTTGTTTTAATTGTACCACAGGCAGCACAGCTTTTGAGTTTTGGCAAAGTTCTTTCTTCAGCTGAAGCATTGAATTGGGGCTTTGTTTCTGAAGTTTATGCTCCCACAGATGAGAATGAAATTTGGAAACGGATACATGCTCTTGCTCAATTACCATCTAAGGTTTGTAAAATTTTCTGTTATTGTTCTGTGGAAAATTGTGTTTTTGCTTTGTAAATTTTCCAGTTTAAAAAAATTGTATTTTTACATTTTTAGTCTCTGATTTATGGAAAGCGACTTCTTCGGTCCCAGGATCGTGCTGCTCTTTATGAAGCTAATCGCAAAGAATGTGAACAGTTAGTAGAGCGATGGCAGTCAGAGGATTGTATGAATGCTGTTTCTAATTTTTTCAGCGCCAAACGTAGTAAACTGTAATTCAAGTTAAATGTAAGAATATGGACAAAATTTTTCTGTAAGTGAAATTGTATGCATCACCTGAACACACATTACATCACGACGAAAGTAAACTTTATTCACATATGTGATACAATTGTCTAGAAAATAAATGTCATATCATTGAAGAAACGTGTGCCCATTAATTCTTTGCTTCCAAGAAACTTACCAAGTACGGTACATGCTTGAGATAGTCACGAGGATCAGAGAACGGGTGGAGAAAGCTACCATACTCCAGTCTGCGTCCAAACTCATCCAGAAAGCCGAAGATGCCTTAGGCCGAAAGTAGCCGGGCGTCAAAACAGATTCAAACATTGACTGACTTCGCGGTCCAGTAGAATACGTGCTGTATCATGCAGGAAGGCTGTGACTGAAAAACAACATTGCGAAGAAGAAGAGAAGAAAGAAGAAAGTACTTCAACTTCAGGGAAAAGTCATGGCGGAAAATGCAGAACTTGTATTTTTCGATACGTTTTCTCATGAAAGTTCTGAAGTAAGTTTTGTTAATTGACTCACAGTAGCTTTGCGACCCTTCAGTCGTTTTTCGATTTCACATTTATTTTATTATTCGAATACTTATTGTCACTATTATGTCGAACCGCCGGATGTAGCGTCGGCATAAGTAGAAACTTACTTTATTTCGTTAATTGTGGCAACAAAATACAAGTGGTATCGGAATTTTCTTGTGTCTCTTGACACTCTGGTCCGAATCCGTATCGTCTTTCTCTCATGAGGTTAATTTTTTCTTGTTGAATACTTGACGTTTGTGGGCAACATAACCTTTCAAAGTTGAGGGTTTATGAACGATTTTATTCTGAATCCAACCTTAATTTTATTCTCCACCCGATACGGCTCATGCTCAATGTTGTTGGTTTTTTAAATTTTATTGTTTTAAATCGAGTATAAGAAAGATTAATTTTATTTCCCTTGTCCTTTGCTTAAAGTGTAAACAAAATTTTGAAACTTTTCACTTTTTTCAGGAAATAAATTTAGATCTTGTGCAGTTTCCCAACATAGTATATATTAGTGAAGTTCGCATCATCCCTTTGGGAGCAAGGGTTCAAGCTGATTTCCCTGGTGGTGTTAGACTTGGGTAAGTTTGTCAAGGAGATAAAAATCATTTAATTTCTAGGATCTATTATTTTCTGTTTTAAACTTCATCCTCATTGTTGCTGATCTCAACAGAGCCACCAACCCTTCACAATTTGAGATTGAGTTTTTTGTAAATGATTTGGAAAAATCTGGAGCGTGCACATTTGAAAGCTTGGGTGGTTTTGAATACAAACAAAATGGAAGTATTCACCTGGAGTGCAAAAGAAAGGTAAGTTATTTATTGTCCTTTCCTTTGCCATTTACTGCAGATTGTTTCTTGAATATATTACTCACCCTTACCATTTAGGTGCCCACTGATGGTCTTGTGCTCCGGGGCTGGTATACCACTATCACTTTGGCAGTGTATGGAATTCCCCGGGACGCCATGCAAGAACAGACTCCTACAAATGCTCATTCCCATTCACACCTCACACTACCTCTCGGGTCTGAATCCCTACCTCCAGAGGCTGTTGCAGCCAGTGCAGCAACTCAGGAATGGGTTCAACAGCATGCCCAGGTGAAATATCTTAATCATTGTGCATTGTAAATAGTTTGATATCCACATCTTCTTCAAATAATTTTTTGTCATGCTAATCCCTGAAAAGGTTGCTGGAGCCGAGCGGGCTTATATGGTAGACTCTAATCGGGGTGATCCGTACAACGGTGGTTACCAAACAGAGCAACACCAATCAATGCCTCTTGGGCCTGTATCGGGAGACTACACTTCATTACCAATCAATCATAACTATCATGACGACTGGAGCCAACAAGGAAACCATGGTTCTCAAGCCTCCCGAGTATGTCTTGCAATGGATACGGAATGTGTCCTATTTTGTGTTTCATTGTTTTGTGTAATCTTGACTTACATTTTAAATTTTCAGTCGGGCCTCACTAGGGTGAATGATGGATATGACACATCAAAGGATGGTCAACGCCCTTACGACTCTGAGCCTCTTCCATGGGAAACGACCAGTTCTCGCCCTGAAGACAAAATGCCTTGGGACAGGAAAGATAGAGAACGCGAACGTGACAGAGACCGCGAACGCGATCGAGATCGTGACAGAGGCAGAGAGCCTGATCGTGACAGAGACCGACTGAGAGACAGAGGGCGCGGCAGAGATGTGTACAGCAGGGAGAGGAGTCGTGACAGAAGTCGTGACAGAAGTCGTGACAGAAGTCGTGACCGAAGTCGTGACAGAAGTCGTGATAGAAGTCGTGATAGAAGTCGTGAAAGGAGTCATGACAGAAGTCGGGAAAGGAGTCATGACAGAAGTCGTGAAAGGAGTCATGACAGAAGTCGGGAAAGGAGTCGTGATAGAAGCCGTGACAGGTCAACAGACAGAGACTGGGAGGAACGCCGAAGAGATGACAGGGATAGACTCAGGGACAAAGTGAGAGAGCGCAGCAACAGTGGCTCAAGAGACTATAATCGAGCAGTGTCTCGTGATCGAGATAGAGACCGTGATCCTGATTGGGACAACAAGAGAAGAAGTGGAGAATGGCCTCGAAGAGAAAGGGACCATGACAGGGACCACAATAGATCTTCCAATTCATGGGGTGATCACTCACCAGATGACCATCACCGGGCTGCTCCTTACGCAGGGCAGAGAGACAGGGACCGAGAGCGGGACAGGGGGTCTCATGCTGCCGACTGGGCAGAGGAGAGGGATCGCGATGAAGCTCCCAGCAGGAAGCGCCCCAGAACGCCTCCCATCCCTCCCCATGTGCCACACAAGAGACCTCATACTCCTCCTGAAGATAAAGCACCACTGTCTCCATCATTGATCCCACCACCTCCACAATCTAAAGGTTTGTTACTAGATAGAAAACGTTTAAACAATTATTTTTTTCTATTCTTATTATTTTACTTGTTGGGCTTGTTCTTTCTTCAAGCTTATCAACATCTTAATTAGAAAGTATCAACACTTTTTGTTTCAGACATGACTTCCCCACCTCCCTCTCAAGTTCAGTTTGGATCAATATCACCGGGTGATGTTGAATCAATATCTGAAGGAGAAATTCCTGAAGCTGATCCTGATGCTGAGCTGGACAGTGCTAACTTATGTGGGTCAGAAATGGATTCTTCCTCATTGCCCCCACAGAGCTCCAAGGATTTTGAATCTGCAGCAGATAAAACTGCCTCCCCAGATCTAAACCTAGACAACACAGCTGGCACCCCTATTCAAGACGATTTTGTTGATGAATTTAAAACTGGTGTCATGAGGTGCATTTATTTTCTCGTGATGGTCCAAACTCTCGTGTCCTTTCAAACATTGCCATTTTGACATGCGTTTTGCCATTTGACAGGCCGTTGACCGTGGACCCTATGCTAGACGACGCCCGAGAGAGGGAAGCTGCGGCCCACCTGGCGCTGCTGGCTTCCGGTGGAGACACCTCGGTTCTTGCTGCCGCGGTTGCGGCGGCTGCCGCGGCCTCCCGGCCTCCCCTTCTGGCCACGCCCAGCCCTCTGGCCTCGCCCGCGGCCTCAGTGTCCTCGACGGCCTCGGCACCCATGTCATCTTTGGCCTCGGCCACAGCGCCCACCTCAGTCCCCACATCGGCCTTGGCCTTGGCCACCTCGCCAGCGTGCCACCCGTCCGCCAGTGGCGCGAGTGGCGCCAACCAGCATGCCGCTCCTGTGCCTGCCTCCATCTCGGCCAGCAGCCCAGCCGGCGCCGCAGTCACCCTGGGGGCCTCCACCGCCTCCACGCCCCCGGCCACTTCGCCCGGGCCGTCGGCTGCTCCAGGCACGCCCGTTGGCACGCCTCCCACCGCCACCGCCTCTCTCACTTCCTCGCCAGTCAATGCCATACATCTTTCTGTAGCTGTTTCGAGTGCCGTGGATTCACCATTCAATCAAGATGAAGCAAGTCTTGATGGAGAGCAGTTCGAACCCATCCTCAGTGATGAAGATATTGACGATGACTGTCAGGTAGGATTGCATCATTAGCGGATTTCACAAATCTGGATTTTTGTCTCTAAGATTCCCACTACAGCCTTTTACCTAATCAGTTTCAGGACTTGGACTTTTTCCCTGATGAAGCTGAGGAGCTTAGTAAAGCATTTAATCCTTTCCACTTTGATTATCAGCCCCTGGTGGTGAGTTTCTTCTTCTCGGCAATACATCTGCCTCTGTTTATTTTATGCATTAGTATTGAACTTTGCTTTTGATTTGGTTCCAGTATTTGAAGGACCCATGTATATCTTCTTCTGAAGCTCAGTTCATTAGGAAATGTCAGATGCAAGAGAAAAAACATTCAAGAGATAACAAAACTACTTCAAATTCTGAAAACCAGAGCTTTGTGCAAATCCCTTTATTGGTTGAAGAAATGCCTGAAGAAGCTCATAAGCTTGAGGAAGTTGTGTTACAGTTTGACGATATTTGTTCAAAAAAAGAAATGAGAGAGGGTTGGGTTCATGCAGCAGAGCAGGCTTGTAATGTGATTCTCCCCGGCCTCCCATTCACTCAAAAAAGAATAGGTAAGTGCATCAGTCAGCCCTAATAATTTCTTTAAATCAGCAAAGAAAAAATAAAACTGATTTATCACTTAACTTTTTAAAATTTTACAGACATTCTTAAACGTCTTGTGTCTTGGGTTCAAGTCGGCCTTAATTTTAACATGGCCCTCCTGCAACCTCAACCCGGTTACAAAATACGTCACATCAAAGTTGGAGTTCGTTTGGTAGAGATTCTTTGTATGTGTAGTGGAGCTTTGGCTGAGCTCCTCATTGTGAATGAAAAAATTCATCAACGCCTTTTACAACTCTACCATATGGATTGCATGTCATTATCTATAAGACTGATGATTCTCAGAGCATTAGATGCCAGTCTTTGCAATAGGTTTGCTGTTGAACATTTCTTGCTCCTGCAAGTGTCTGTACCCCGTGTAAATGGTTTGAAACTGGCTGACAGGCTTAAATTTAAGAAAGAAAATTCAAAGAAAAGCAAATTTGTCCAGGAAGAACCTGAAGAGCTTGAAGAGAAAGCCAAAGACACCCAGGTGAAGAATGAAGGACATGAACATACAAATACTTCATTCAAGGAAGAAAAAATGGAACTAAATGAAGAGACCAACAGTAAAACTCGTAAAAATGAAACATTTTCTCTAGAAAAGTTACAAGGCAATCTAAATGAAGAAACAGTGGAAGGGACACATTTAGAAATGTTGAATGAAGAAAGACAAGATGCAGAGGGGAAGAGAAGCAAAGAGACAGTATTAAAAGATCAACCTGAGTGGTTACAGGAAGAAAACCCCCAGCATTGCAAAAATAGTTCTAAGAGAGGAAATTTTGTCTTCAAGAAGATTGTAGTGAATGATAATGGGAAGAAGTCAGTCCGTTATTTCAAAAGGAGGGTCTCTTTACATGGTACTCAGAAATATTCAGGACTGAACGGTTATCAAGCATTGATATTAATGTTTAAGACCGAAAAACTATCCCGGACTAAATTTGCTCTGTGCAATTTAATTCGTAAACTACATTTTTATGAAGTTCTTGAGAAGTTCAAAAGTACTGTCAAGTCACTGATCAGTATCAATCTTGATGCTTCTGAGAAAAAGACGAAATTAATAGACAATTTATTTAAATCTATTGTTGATGTTTCCTCTGTAGAAAACTCATCAGAGTTTGAATTGATGGACACTCTGGTAGCTTGTCTTTCAGAAATAACTTCAATTTACAACCAAGCTCCACTCATGCTTGCTCAGCCAAAGAGGTTTTTGCCAGGCCATGCACAGTTTGACTTGGGTGCCTGTTGTCAAGAAGTCCAGCGTCCCTATCCTGCTTTATTTTCATTTCTTCACTGTCACAGTTTTTTGGAGTGTTGTAACGTTCTTCTGACTTCACCTCTGACAATGAGTTGTAGCATAGTTTTGAGTCCTTTATTCAATGTAATCAAAGCCCTAGCAGATTCTCATGAGGGACTGCAATATTTGGCAACTCATACAGATTCTACCAATGTATTACTACGCATTCTCTTACAACAGTCTTCTAGTGATGAACTTCTTGACGAATCTACAATCTCGCCATCGTCATCACAATACCTAGGATTGTGCATTGCTTACCGTCTTCAAGCTCTTCATTTCATTGACCTGATACTGGATGCAGTATCTTCTGGGAACACGGATCCTGAGAGGCACGAAGTTTTTGAGAATTTATTAGGCTTGTATTATCTTAGCTTTTCTAATGTGGGAAAGAGTTCCCTCATACATGTCTTAAGTAGAGGAGATTTTATGAAAGTCCTGCTGAACCTTGCCACATACATTGCCCCTGAAGCTGATACCAAGTATAAAAAATTTCCAGGGAAGAATTTTGTAGATGATTTGATAACTTGTATTGTGAAGCTCAATGAGAATGGTTCATTTCTTCAACAGTTTGGTTTACAAATTCTGAGGATTGCAAGAAATTCAAATTCCAAACTCCATGAAGTCGTACCCTATTTGCAAGTTGTTGAGAACACACAGCTATTTTCCTATGATGATATATCACAACTCTGTGATATTGTGAAGAGGAATATTGACCAAACAGCTACATTCCCAGGGGAGCTCATCACTACTCTACGTATTTTGCGGCACCTTGCTGTATCTTCTTACAGCCTAGAGAACTGTTTTGACAACAATGCAAACTATCAATTTTCCTATCTGGAACTGAAGCATAAATTTGTAGTTCTGGAACTATTTTCACTTGATGGTGTCTCGCACATGACAGCAATCCTAGCCAAAATGTGTGAGGCGTACGACCAGCCTGCCCTACATGCCTCTGTATTTTTGGGCATGCGAGGAGCTGTTATCACATCAATCATCTTGCCAGCACTGGAGCTGCTGCGCCATATGCTAACTTTGGTTATCCAATGCCGTAACACAGACTTCCGAGATTTGACCGCCATTGGTGTTCTTCTCAAGACCTACACTCTTTTGCATGCTTTCCCAAGTGGAGCCCTAGCGACTGATTCAGCCCAAAGAGGGTGCAAAGAAGTCATTGAGACTCTGCTGGCCTATACTCAGCCAGTCCAGCTTGAGTCTTTGTCTGAGAGTGAGGGTCTCAACAAGAGCTTGTGGACGTTGATGATGGCTGAAGTCTTGAAGTATGTGACGACTAATGCCCATACGTTCATGTCTGGCCTGCTCATGGTGTCTGAATTGCTGCCCTTGCCCCTCCCTGTCCAAACTCGTTCACCTTTACCACCTGAAGAAGTTGCCCTAGCAATGAGTAGTCGCAAACTTTGGTGTGCACATTTGCATTCACAGAGTGCTGTCATTGGGGACCTTATTTCCACTATGTGTGGAAGTTCATGTCCACCCCTACTTCAGTTGCTGAGGAGAGTGTGTGTCCAACTTTCTGACCTGGCTGCTCCAACAGCTCTTGTTGTTGCCAGATCTGTTTTGGATGCAGTAAGTGTGCTTTTACACTCAAATTAGCTTTTCCTCAGTAAGCTTTAATTTGTATTTTCTGAACTTTTATTCTCTGTCTGCAGATTCTTGTCAGTTTGAATGTCAACACTAAAGCCCCACCAAATATTGCTGCACCAACTGAAGGACCTTGTACCAGCCATACAGCTCGCTTACTCAACTTTTTGGCTTGTCTAATTTCGCATGCATCTGTGAAGTGTGCGGTTTTAAACCTTCTATGTGCAGGGGTTTGTGGCAGTGGAGTGAAATCTGATGAAAGATTCCCTCAGCTTGTCACCCACCTGTGCAATATCTTACGAAATGCACATGATTCTTCATCACATGTTCAAGCCCAAGAGTGTGTGGTGAGTTAACAAGCTCTTTGCTATGTGTGTCAGTATAAATTAAGTTGGATTTGTGTTTGATTAAATAATGTTGTATTCTGTATCCAGGTATCAGTGCTCCAATCGCTCTGTGATGTTGACATATCACTCGTGCCTCCCCCCACACCTGGATCCGATTCAGCCTTAAGTCACCAGATATATTTGGCTTGTGCCCTCCCACCACGAGATCTTCTCTCAATGTTTTGTACAGTTTTGTTGGATCATATGTCAAACTCACATCACTCTTTCACCACTCTTCTGCCAACTGTTCGCACATTTCTAATGTTAGTGGAGCATGATTATGGGTTCTACCATTTGAGAAGGTATGTTTTTTGTTCTTGCATTCCTAATTTTTTTTGGGCCTTGTAATGTTTTGTGTGGAATTTACCACTGTTTTCTTTTTTTACAGTTGTCTGCTTAGGAAAACAGATGGCCTTTGGCATTTATTTTCAAAGTTTTGCACCTCCTTTAGCAAAGATTCTTCTGATTTGTTATCCACATTGTCTACCTCATTAGAGCTGTTGAGATTGTGTATTACACTTGATGGGGAATATACAGACAATGAATCAGTTTTGTTTCGGAACAAGATACCCATCAAATGTGAAAGCCCTCACCAAGCTGGAGGAGCCAAAGATTTAGATTTTATCAAAGAAGAAGCTCAACCCATGAGGTTGATGAACTATCCATGAATAATGGTTCAGATGATTCAGAGAACCACTGTAAAACAGATGTCAGTCCAACAGTGAAAACACAGCCAGCTGAAGAAGTTACAGAAGATCTAAAGAAATTACAGACAACTGATCATTCAGAGAACCAACTTCAACAGACTGAAAACCAGAACACCCTACCACATAATTTACTTGGCAACCAACAGCTACATCCTTCACCCAAACCTCAAAATGTAGACCTTGAACCCCCTAGTAATGATGGATTACCTGCAAGGAAACTTGTACTCAGTGTACCTGAATTGATACAAGTGGTGGGCTGGAACCGGACAGATTTACCTATTCCCTTTGAGGATGTCAAAAATGGTGAACCATCCCACAAAAGACATCCTATTTTGCACTTAGAGAAACTGCTTCGAGAGTGCTCCATAGAAGAGGAATCTTTGGAAAATTTACATGAAAGCGTGGTTGGACTCATCAGAATTCTGGATGATGATTCCAACCAGCAAACTGAGGTCAAAGGTACATTTCTATTATATATGAAGAAGATTGTTTATCTTGTAATTTCCTTACATTTAAGAAATTTTGAATCTGTTCTAAAAACAAATTGAAATACCGATTTTTTGCCTTCTTTTTTTTTCTAGCTGCCGATATTGCAGAAATAATCATACCAACACCCGAAACTCTCCTAAACCAATTTGCTCTGCGACATGTGTTCACCATATGTGAGCCAGATGATGACAGACTGTGCCAGGGTTATTGGCTTTCTGTTCCTACCTCTGATGAAGCTGATCAGGACTCAGAACAAGTGAGAATATTATGTTTGCCTTATTTCCATGAACTTTTTTCTATCTACTTATTAATTTCTTGCTTCTGACTGCTTTTGTAGGTTACATGCGATCTTGTGGATTTTGCAAGAGAGAATATACCAGATTTGCACCTCCTCTCAGAGTCTGTTCGTTTATGCCGTCTTCGAGCTGGTCTTGGAGATGAAGTTGATGTTGACCGTATAGATACTGAAATTACAAAAAAACGGGCTGCTGGTGAAGATGCAAAGTACTTAAGCACAGATGTGAAAACAAGGCGACCATTTGTCACTCCTATGCGAGGCAGAGGATTTAGTCGCCCAGTTCCTCAGCGAGGAGATCTATTTCGTTCTAGGCCTCCCAATACATCAAGGCCCCCCTCTCTTCACGTGGATGATTTTGTGGCTCTTGAAACCTGTGGTGCCCAACCTACAGGGCCCACTGGGTACAACAAACTTTCCATGAGGGCAGCAAAGGTAAGACCTCTTTACTACTTGGTGCTTGGTTCATTGTTTGGTAACTTGAATGTGACTCTAGGGAATTATTCTGGTGTTATGTTTCAGCAGGACATGATGGCCACGCGCTCGAGAGGGCGGGGTCGGGGCTTTGGCTCGGACCGGGGAAGATTCTTTGGCTCTGGCCACCAATATCGACGGGAAGGTGTGTATGAGTTTGTCTGCATTTTGACTAAGAGGAAGAGGGCGATTTGGAATGTGTCCTTATTCTCTCTATTGAATTCCATTCCAGGTGGACTGCGGGCAGCGAATCTGCGAAATGACATCCCCGGCCCGTGGGGTCCAGGCGGTCCAGGCCCCCATGAGGGGGTGGGCCAGGGGCAGATGGGTGGTCTCGGGCCCCAGCGCCAGTTCCGCGCCATGGACCAGAGGGACGGCCACGGCGGCCACGGCGGCCACGGCCAGGCCCATGGTCGCATGTTGCGGCCGGAGGACAAGCTAGGCTCCAACCTGGCCGGCCGGCTGGGGGGCCCCGGACTGCGGGCTGGCGGTGGCGCCAACTGGCCCGGCCACGCCGGCCACGCCGGCCACGCCGGCCACGCCGGGCCTGGACTCGGGGGCAAGGACAGGGACCGCTTCGGGGGCGGCCCGGGCCCCGGGCCCATGGGCCGCGGTGGCCCCAACAACCGCAGGGACTCAGGGCGGCACCAGCGGACGTTTACTCGTTGAGGACAAGTCTAGTCAGACGCCAGCGACAGATTATTGCAATAAATTTATTTTTGTGTTGTTTTGGTTGTATGGTGAAATCTTGAACTAACAATGCCTATTTTGAAGTGATTAGTTATTCCTATCAATGGGATTCATTTGCCTTTTTAAACACTGATGACTGTTAGAGCAAGAATTCACTGTCTGTACACACATCCTTTTTTTTTTTTTGTGACGCAACAGCTTTGTTGAAATTCTATATTTTATTCTTGTGGTGATCAATTTGTTCAAAGTTTTGTAGCGTATTCTCATTAGGAATTCACCAATGATGCTTTTAACGAGATTTCTCAAAACTGTTGATATTTCCTTTTGAACTGTGGCATTTAAGAAACATGTTAAATGTTATTGTTATGTACATTTTATGTGTCTGTTTCAATCATTTGAAAATGATTGCTGGAAATATCAGGTTCATTCATGTTTGTTACAATGTCAATGACTTTTTCTTCATATTTTTTTTCCTGTAATAATTATGAAGAAGTAAATTCTTAGTTCGACATTGCTGTTATCATGTTAAGATGCTATTTACATTGTATTGACCTTTCAGTATTGAACATCAGGAATACAATAGTACTAAACATTATCACCTCAGTCTGATGTTAAGGAACTGGAAAGATGTGACTTATTTTATTTCAGGATGCTAAGTCAATCCTTTTCTCATGTATTTTCAAACCTTTTATCCTGACAGCTGAGACTCCATATTTTGGTTGCCTCTTTTTCATGTCAGCAACCTCTTCTTTTGTGGGTGTTAGTCTAGTCATGAAATCCTCCTTGTATAGTGCTCTCACCCTTCAGCAACTAGTTGTTACGTTTTGTGAGGTGATATGCTATTTCATGGCATGGCTATTATGTTTCATAAGCTGTTTAAATAAGACTGCCACTGTGCATTTTTTTTTCCTTTTAAATTTCAATCTGGTTTTGGACAATTGAATATCAATTGAAATGTTTTTTGTTCCTAATTAATTTGTGTTTGGGTCTTCATAGAGTGATGCTTCATTTTAAACATGTTAAGTCCCATTTTTCTTCCTACACAGTTTCAATCTTAGACTTCAAGAAAGTTAAACAATTATTTTTTCAAAGCTAATTTAAAAGAATCCAATTGATTTGTTTTCCTTTTCTGTGATCGATCATTCTGGATAAACTTTGAAATCCTCATCTCAACAACTCGTTATCCAAACACATAGGTCCCAGATAAATTGTGAAATGCAAAAAGCCGTCTGAAGTTGATTTCAACTATGTGCTTGCATTCCCTACATTATGTAGATAAACCTAAACCAGTTTCCAGTATTGGGATTAAGACCAACCAAAATTTGGAATTACCTTTAGACCAGTAAGGTTGAACCTTGAAGAAAGAAAAAAACTTATTGATTTGCTCATTTCTATCTTATTTAATTAAACTTAAAAATAGAACCTGATTGAAATGTTTAGGTGATGGTGATTGCCGCTGAACATATTGTTTATTAACCTGTTCATCTACTTAATCAGAAATATATATTTTATATGTTAAGTTTAAGGCTGAATGGATCATTTTTATTTTTGTGAATGCTCCCTCTGGTTTTCCTAAAGTGTAGTGTTAGATGTATTTTGCCAAAAGTGTGATACGTTGGCCCTTTTATTTTTTTTATCTGTGGCATTATATCTGCTCCCAATGGTTTTACCTAATTGATAATGTACTGAGCCCGTATATTTATTCTAGAAATATTTTTGGAAGGAGAGATCAATTTTGTTGTTGTTGCCATATTTTGGAGACTGTTAATTAAATGGGACGGTGTTGATGTAGACTTGCAGAAATTCATTTTCATTGCTAAGCCAAACAATAAAATGTGGAGGAGGAATTTTCAAGATAGATGTTTTACGAGAAATGATTGTCCAGCTCAATGCTGACGATGATGACTGGGCTGTCAGAAAGTTGTATATATCTATAAGTGTTAATATTGGTAGAGACGAGCTTAAGACAAATTATTACATATTAAATTTGTTAAAAATAAAACTACCGTGTTTTCTCTTTTTCAATGATTATTTCCTTTTCTCTTGCTTTCATTGGTTGAAATCAGAATCATCCCTAACGTCAACATTTGGATACTCTCTGGGGTTACTTTTTTTTCCCACACATGGTAACTGCGAGGAAGAGTGTGTCAGCTAAGGAGCTAGATTGTTGGAGCTAGTGGAGTTAGCTATATGGAGCTAGTCTGTTACACATTTGAGACGCGGGGTAGCGCCACCGGCCAAAGGCGTTCGGAGGGCGTGGAGTAGTGACGGAGCGGACATGGACCGCGACGCCGCGACTCCGCCGCGCCCAGCCGGCAACTCGGTACCCGTGCCTCGTGCCCGAAGCTGAGCCAAGTCAGGAGTCCAGGGACGGGCGCGGGGCTGGGGTCGGAGAGCGAACGTACCTGCCGGTACCAGGCGCGCTCGCGGGAGTGGGAGTAGCGAGCGAGAGAGAGAGAGAGAGAGAAAGAGAAAGACAGCGAGAAAGGGAGAGGCGGGAAGGGGGGCACACAACGTTTAAGGCCGGCTATGCCGCCAGTGCACAGTCACAGTGCAGCTGGATGGAGGCGGGCGGTGGACTCCACTCCATTTCTCCTTGAACGTGGTGGGAACTGCGCCATTCATAGCCACATAGTCAAGGAGTCGGGATAGCCGTAGGGCCTGATGGCGGGGCGGGGCGAGTGTGGTCGTTCCCTCGCGGGCAACGCACAACCCCGGGCCGGCCGGCGTGCCCGCCCAAATCATCCAACCCAAATCGGCATCGGCCCACCGCCTACTTCCTACAATTCATCGCACCGCATGCGTAATCTGGCAACGCCGGCCGTGCTGCTCCGCGCTCCTGCGCACACGGCCCGCCGAAGACCAAGACGCAGACGCAAAGGACGCGAAGCACGCGCAGATCGCAGGTACACCTCGTACACCTTTCGCAGAGCCTGCCGCTGCCGCGTCGCCGGCGGGAACCGCAATGGTCATTGGGCGCGAACAAGCCTGAGCTGCACCGCCATGCCGCCATGCACCGCCCGACCGCTCCCTCCGTCGGTCCTGGACCATCCTGGGTCCCTGGACCCCTGAACGTCCTGGAGTCGGGCGGCCAGGCGCGCGGCCTGGGCCAGCACGGCCAGCAGCGGGCGGACGCGGCGGACGCGGTCGTGGGCGAGAGTGGAGAGGGCGGTCTGCCAAACAACGCGTTGGTCCAATCAGATCGATCTGTGTCCGCGGCGTCAACTCGTCAACAAGGTGGCGCACCAGGTGGGGGCCTCTCGTTCACCCTGCCAGGTGAATCGCAGTGCACCGCAGTGCACCGTCGTGATCGGCCGCGATGTCGCAGCGTGGTCGCGGCGAGGCAAGGCTGGTACTGGCACGGCACGGCACGGCACGGCACGGCACGGCGCTGCGCTGTGCAAAATAGCAGCCCGGCGACAACGGCAAAAACAACAGGTAGCATCGGCGACTGCCGGCAGATGCCAACCTGCCGGTATTAAAACACACACACACACACACACACACACACACACACACACACACACACACACACACACACACACACACACACACACACACACACACACACACACACACACACACACACACACACACACACACACACACACACACACACACACACATATCTCCGCTTGTTCTCGTCCGCGTGTCGAACAGAGTGAGGCTGCAGCTGCGAAATACGAGCCAGCCGCGAGGCATGCGGTTGGTACCGATGTTACATGGTGCCGATGGTACATGGTACCGATGGTACATGGTACCGATGGTACCGACTGGCGGCTGCTGGCGGCGTGGCTCGGGGTTTCCGCTCAGCCTTGGCGCCACCCCGACCGGCGCCCCGCGTGCAGTCCACGATCATGCTCTCGATTGCGTCGCGGGGCGCACGGCACAACGCGCACTGGGTGGATGCGATCGAAGACCTCCGCGCGGCCGCGCCATAGGAAGCGACGAATCTTCAGTGAGGTGGGCATGGTGGGCACGGCAGCCACGGCGAGCATGGTGGGCATGGGGGGCATGGGGGGCATGGGGGGCACGGTGGCCACGGTGGCCACGGCGAGCATGGTGCGGTGGCTGCACTCCGCCCCGCCGCCTGCAACTGCCAGCTAGCTGTGCCTGCCAGGAAAGGAAAGCCAAACCGAAACCACAGTCTTCTATTTATTCCTTTTCCTTCCGAGGAACACAACGAAACGGGAGCGGTAAAGGCGGTGAAGGTGAGGCGGCGCAGCACTCACTGTGGCGGTAGTGCCGCAGTGCCGCACTCACCCGGGCCGCGACAGGCACAGCTTTTGGCTGTCGGAGTCAGAGTTGAACCCGGGGCCTCGAGGCCACGCCACCGCAGAGGTAGGGCGGAATAGAGCCCTACGTATTACCCCTTCCGATGTAGGACTCTCTATAGGGCGGAAGCGGCGCGGGTAGGCAACCGGCCCGGCTTGATTCCAGAGTAGACTGATTCCGAAAGTCGATTTCGTCGCTCTGTCCCTCTCACTCACATACGGGACGCCGCATGCGTGCGATAGAGACACAGCGACGAAAATGACTCTGGGAATCCTTCTAGACCAGGACGGGCCGTGCGTTCAAGTCTCCCACTCCGCGGGCCACGCGGGATGGCGCGCTGCTACACGCTGCCAACCTGCCAACGTGCGCAGTGGTCCTATTTGTGGAGGGAGGAATGTCGCAAGTACGTGGTGCCTTGGTCACTCTGGGCACTCCTCGGGCTCAGAACGTGCCCAGAGTGACGCCCACCTTGACTGTCCTCTAGCCCGCCGTGCACCGCTGAGGTGGAGGCCCCCTCTGGGCTTATCGTTTTCAGGGCCCGTGACCGCCCGTGACCCGTGCATGTGCTGCCATGTGCTGCGAATCCATTGAGCTCGCCCCGCCTCTAGCCCCGGCCCGACCGCCCCTCTGTAGACTCTCGAGACCGCCAGGCGCCGCCAGGCCGCTCCGTCCTGCCGTCTGGGAGGGGCGGCCGGGCCACGACAACGCCTGCTGCGCTCCACTCCTTTCGCCGCCCTCGGCCGCCCTCCGCCCTTCGAACGAGGCCTGCCCTTCCGTGTCAATCCCTCCTCCTTCCGGGCGAGGACAAGGCTCCCTCCACGCGGCCTGCATGCCGCCACGCCGCCTTGCCGCCTTTGTCCGGGACGGTCCGGGACGGTCCGGGACTGGCGGGCAGGACGGGCGGAACCAGGACACGGGGCCCGGTCCGCCGCGGCGTTGGCGGCGTGGACCACCAGGCCGAACCGCCATCGAGGGCGGGCGCTGTCATCGCCGTGCCCCTAGAGCCGTCGCGCCTCTAGCGAGTCCAGCGCCTGCAGAATGTCCGCGATCGAGTCCACGATGAAGGCAGAAGAAGGAGGCAGTGGGTGATTGAGGCGGGGAGGGGCGCCGTCTGGAAGCTCGTCCGGGCCCATCCCGCGTCACGGCGCCGTCAAGCCGTCACGGACACGGCCCAGTGGCGATGTAAATGCGGCGGTCATGGTTGGCGGCCGATTAGTTTGAATGACGGCCCGGCCCGCCGCGGCAATGCGACAGAATGCGCCAATCCGCCGATCCACATCGTCACCGTCCTGCAGCCCTGCCCTGCCGGCCGCGTGGTGACTATGATGAGAACCAACTGCATCTATCTGAGCTTGCGAGCAGGTCGCGCGAGGCGGAATCGTCTTCCTCACAACGGACATGTGACATCCCAAATTCGTCCGTGTCACGATCAAACGAATGTGAGATCGCGTACAGACGAACGCGGTACAATTCTCACTCTAGCGAACGTGACGTCACATTCCTGGACCAACAGTGCAGCGGCAGTAGAGGACGCCCCCCTCGGCGAACTTGACCAGACTTGACCTGGGGAACGGACTCGGCCGCAAGCAAGCTTATTTGGTGCACCGGTTAAAAACAGGTTTTCGATGTGGCATGGAGGTTTCGAGGCGACGGAAAAGGGGGGGGATTGTGGAGGGAGTGAGTGAAGTGCGGAAAGCAGAAAATAATTCCGTCGCCACGTGCCGCGCTGTGCCGGGCTGTGCCGGGCCGAGGGGCTTGCCGGGGCCGGTGGGGCTGGCTGGGGCTGGCTGGGGCCGGCCGGGAGTGGCCGAGGGTTGGACGGCAAATCGGACAGACATCCATCCCCTCTCCAGCATCCTCGACGATCGGAGAGTAGGGAGCAGGGGGCAGCCAGGGGGCAGCGCAGGGAATGCGACCAGGTTGTTGTTTTGTTCTCATTTGACGTCATAGCGCGCGGCCGAGGGGGTATGCGCTCTCTGAACCTGTGTACCGACTATTACGCTATTACGCTCTATTACGCCACAAATTAATCGGAATTTAGCTAAAAACGGCCTAAAACACACCAAAATTGATAAAATTTTGACCATTTCGGCTATTACGCGACTATTACGCGACTATTACGCGTATTATTACGCGTGCTATTACAGACAGAGTGAACCGACTATTACGCGAGTGCATACCCCCTCGCGCGCGGCGCTGGACCTGTTGGGCCACCTTTGTGACAAGGGCTAATTTCAAAACGATTTGAATTTGTCCGATCAAAATACATTCGTTTCGTTTCGGTCTCGCCTGCGCATTCAAGTCACTAAAAGGCCTTTCTCTGTCTTCGCGAGGGGGGCTGGCGGACTGCCTGCTGGTCGGGGCCGGGGTCTCTTTTCCGGGTTCGGACTGAAATGTTCGGAGAGTGGGATGGTCGGGCCGGGCAGGATTGGAAATCGGAGCCGCGCGGAACGGCAGAGAGCCGAGCAGGAGAACCGATAGAGCGGGTTGCAGCGTTGCAGCAGACGGCAAGACGACAGCAGGGTCATCTGCCACGACGCCACGCCACTGCCAGCGGGTGGGCAGCCCGTGCACCTCGGTCCTACCAGACCTTGCTGCCCGCCCGCCCGCCGGCCACGCCCCGCCACGCCCCGCCACGCCACGCCCTGCTTGTTCCGTTGCTTTGCGTCGGCGGCGCGGCGACGCGGCGACGGCTACAACACCTTCGGCCCCTGGGGCCCCTGGGGCCCCTTCGGCAGGTCGGTGCTGCAAGTCACGGCCATTTCGGCGAAGGCGGCATGGCGTATGCAGCGCACTCATTGTGAAGCGAAGCGTTTTCACGCGTGTGGGCCCCGGCGGCCCCAGCCCCGACCAGCCCCGGCCCCGGGCCGTCACTCAAAGTCCGAGGACGGAAAGAAAAGCGTACTGGCGCACTCTTTTGCCACTTTGCTTCGGAACCTAAGCGATGCCCAGCGGATGCCCGACACAGCGCGCTCCACGCACGTATAATATACCCAACGTACCAGAGTGCCAATTTTGAACACTAAGATAAAAACTGCGGCCCGGCGCCTGTCCTCCGATGGCCGATGGCCCAGGCAGCTCGACCGGCCGTCTTCTGTCTTCTGACCCACATCTTCCGCAGCTTCCGCCCGCAATCCTCCATCCTCCCCACACCTCTTTCTCTCTTTCTCTTCCGACCGGAGCTGCCAACCCGGCGGCGTGGCGCCGCGCGGCGGTCCCAGTTCCACCAACTGCATTCTGCAGGCACTGCCGGCCACTGCCGGGCACTGCACGCGACGGGATGGGCGGCTGAACGCAGAACGCTATTCGCAGAACGCTATTCGCAGTGTGGTCGGCCGGGACGTCTTGTGCTGACGTGGGCCACCCGGATCCTCTCCTGCTTGTGGACTCTGCACTCGACCCGACGCCGGCCGAAACCTTCTTCGAGAAGGGGAGCAGGAACAGAGGGTTCCCCGGTTCCGCGGTTCCTTGACTGAACAATTCATCCCATTTCAGCCGTCTTCGCACTCTTAACGTAAACAGAGTGCACTGTGAGCGTTGAATCACACAATTTCATATTTGAAAACAGTCTTTTCACTTTCATGCGAGAGAATCGCGCGCAGGGGTCACTCACCGCACTGCACAACAAAAGGCTCTTGATTTATTTTTTGACTCCTGTGCGGCGAATCGCGGCGTTTATTGTGTCGGGGTTGGGACCAGACTCGACCAGACTCGACCAGACTCGCAGGGGCCGGTGGGTGGGAAAGGAGGAGCGAAGGTGCAATTTGTCTGCGCCACAGACTGTGTCGCGCTCCGCGCCTCGCGCTTTGGAGTCGCGGCGTGACGCTCAAAGTGCAGCCTCCGCCGAGCCTCCGAGCCGAGCCGCCGAGCCGCTGAAAGGGAAGATGAAAGGCAGAAAAGAGAGAGAGAGCGCGCAGGTCGGCGCGGACATGTTGGCAGCATCCAAAAACCTACACCCAGCGGGCTCGGCGGCCCGGCCGTGCGCCTCTCCATGTGACTCCGCGTGTGGTGACGCGTGACGCGTGACGCCCCGCGAGGCCCTCCTCGCCCCTCCGCGCCGCGCCGTGTTGGCCGAACTGAACGAAGGCGGCGACCACGGTGACGCTCCGCGCGCGGCACTACACAGTGTGCAGCAGCCTCGGTGAACCGCACGGGGACGGAGCCGACGGTGATGGCGGTGGCAACATCGCCTGTCTAGGTGGCCACGTTTTGCCGAGGAGCGTCCCAGCGCTCCGTGCGTAGAGCGGCGCGACGCGACGTGCCGTACTCGCGAGTCCCCCCAGCGAGGAGGTGGAAGCGGCCTTGGGGCTCTCAGGTGCGGTATGCCCGACGATCCTGCCCGGCCCCCGAAGCGACGAGCGACGCCCTCTGGGAGGGTTCGACAACCTGCCCACCTCCCTGTCGTCCACGTCCCATGACGGAATATGGTTTCAAGTTTGCGCGGGGAGGACGGACGACGGGCGTTGACTTTGGCGTGGGACCGCGCTGGCGCTGGGCCGTGGACGGCGGGCTGCGCTGCTGCAGGGCAGGGCAGGGCAGGTGTTACCTGTATTGGCTCAGGAGAAAGTTAAGGCTGCCGCCACAGTGCGCCGCGCTGCGGTACGCTGCGGCCTCTACTGCAGCAGCATGCACAGCCCAGCACAGCCGCCACCCCGTGACGTCACGACGCCACGACGTCAGGACGCGTGCATTAATCTCGCCGCGCCACACGTCGCGAGCCCCGGGCTCCGTTGCTTTTCTTGCCCACCTCCTGCAAATCGTGAAAATTGTTTGTTTCTTTTGAGAACACAAAAAAAGGGCGACTATCGCTGCTGGCGCCCCCGCGCCGCGCGGCACGAAGCACGAAGCTCGGCGAGGGAAAGGCAGGCGGGCAGGCGGGCAGGGCCCTGCGAGGAAATTATTTTCGAGTGGATGGCGAGAAAAAGCGTCATGAGTCTCATCTCGTCGCCGACACTGGCGGCTCGACGGCGTTGTTGTTTTCTAGGCGGCCGCGCTGGAACCTTTCGGCTTTTGGCGTCCCCGCCGGCCCGGCGCCTCGCGGGGCCCTGCCGTGATGCTGCGGCCGCGCTCCGTGCGTCAGCAAGGCCCGGCTGGGCTGCTGGGCCGGACGCAGGGCACTGCTGCCAAATCTCCGACGAGCTTCGACGATTCGAGCGCTGGACACTAGCCGCCCATCAGCTGTTTGCGCCAAAGTGACACATTTGGACCATTGCTCCGGGACAGTCTGCCTCACGGCAGGCGAGGCGAGCCGCGCTCGCTTTCCAGCTTTTGTCGCAAGTCGTGACGGCGGTGGCGCGGAGGAGCGGCCTAGGTTTAGCGTGCTACCAAATGTGGAGGCGGCAGACGGGCGGCCCGCGACACGACTGCCCTCGCTTGTGGCTAACAGCTAGAAGCTAGCAGTGGCCCGCAGCGCCGCCTCTATTCTCCATGCGTTCGCCCTGCTGCACTCGGCTGCATGGTTCGGGGCGTGTCACGCTGCGTGAATGGCGTGGCAATAGTGCGAGGTAGGCAGCCGCCCTGCGTCCAACGCAGTGGTGCCGTCGGGCTGCCTATCCATCGGGCGCTCGTCGGACACGAGCAACGCCTTTCGACGGGGCCGGACTGGCTTGGCCAGTGATTCCACGCAGTGCGGCAGTCGGCATATCTCTCTCGCACCTATGCGGGGCGTCGCAGGAGAGCGAGAGAGAGCGGGGCCACCCGTGGAATCAGTCTGCAACGGCCTGGTCTTCCTCGGCTCCTCGGGCCAGCCAGCGGCAGAGACCGGCGGGGCGAGGCGGGGCCAGGCGGGGCGCGGCGAGAGGAGCGGCGACCTAGTGACCGAGCAAACGCCGTGCACCGCCTCTTGCCTCTTTCGCCGGTGGAATGGAATTGTGTTCGCGGCCTGGCGAGAACCTGTCCGACACTGTCCTGTGGTCCTGGCCGTTTCTTCTCATTTCCACGTCCAAATCTGCGGTGCAGTGCGGGACAGTGCGGCACGGGGTTACCGCGGACCGGGGGGGTCGTTGGTCCAGACCGCCAAGACCCTGCGCGGGTGCCGGGATGAGCGTGCTGAGCGGGACAGTCGTGTCAAGGATCCATCTCCATTGTGGGCCGGGCAGTGGCGGCGGGGGGTCGGGGGCCGAGGGGCGGCTAGATATGATTGAGACCCTCGACCAGCTTATCACGCCCCTTCCCCTTCCCCTCCCTGCTCGCCTCGCGACGTCTACGGAGCTCCATGTCAGCCCGCCGTGCCGCCGTGCCCGCCGCGTCAACCACCTACACTGCTCGGGGCGGGGGCCGACCCGCGACCCTCCCGGTCGCGACGTCGCTGACCGCCTCTCCGCTTGCGTCTGCGTCGTCTTCTGCGTCGGTTTGGCGGTGCCAGTCGCCAGCATGGCGTCAGGACCAGGACCGTGCCAGGCGCGGCACGGACGCGCGGGCCAAACCTGTCCCCTGGGAAATAAAAAACACAAACCAGAAAACAATCCACGATCCATAAAATGGCGACGCGGCTCTATTTATGAGAAAATTATCACGTGGAATACATAAAGTGCCGTCGAGGCTATACTGGCCTTCTCCCGGCGAAACCTGCGGAACGGCACCGCTTTGCTGGCGCTGCTGCGCTGTGCTGCGCTGTGCTGCGCTGTGCTGCGCTTTGCTGCGCTTTGCTTACGCCAGCGCTCTGCGACCCTTCCGCTTCGCCTTGCTTCGCCTTGCCTCGCCAACCTCGCGCCGTCAACAAGAAAATGTCATGTGTGCGCTGTGCGCTCGGGAAGAAGGGAAGAGGCGACGGGACGGGCGCGGCCAACCCGCTCAAGAGGGCGGTGAGAGTGTGAGCCTCACACTCACACTGTGAGAGTGAGTTGGGACGACTCCGGCTGCTCCGGCTGCTCCGGCTGGGCCGGCGGCCGGGCTGGGGCACCAACCACCTCCACCACCACCGCTACACCGCTCCACCACGGAGGAACTCCGTGGCGCCGAGCGCGCCTCCTGGCGGCCGCGCGCCGAGGCTGGCTGGCTGGTCGGTGCGCGGCGCGGCGGTACGCGGCGGTGCTCCCCCTCCCCCACTCCGCACCGCACCGCGCCGCGCTCCCTCCCCAGTAGGCGCTAGGCGACCGCCGAAGCCGGACGTGCTGTGACGTGCAACGCAGTATCGCCGTGCCCCCAGTCACACTCATTCCGTGACGTGCTGTGACGAGGCGTGACGAGGCGTGACGCTCCGCCCGGGTGTTCCCCACATCGCGACGGCACCCTCTTTCGCGCGCGGGACCCCGTCGAACCGATCCTGGACTTTCCATCAGAGGTTATACCGGTGTCCGGACGCGACCGTCCTCGTTGAACCGGTGTCGCCCAGTGCGCGCGTGTGCGTGTGTGTGTGTGTGTGTAAAGTGTGTGTGAGTGCGTGCCGATAGTGCAGTGCAGTGCAACAACAAGTGGCCACAGAGCCTCGTGCCACCTGTTACTCTCGCCGAGCCGGCCGAGTGGCACCCCTACTTTTCGGATACCTCTTCATCGAGTGGCCAGCCTTATGACGAGTTCATGAGCCATCCCGCCGTGCCCTGGTGAAATGTGGCGGCGGGGTTCCCAGTCGCCGCGGCTAGGGTTGCCGCACGGCCGTGGCCGAGGCAGGCCGGGGCCAACTCTGCCCTTAGCCTGCGGGATGGCCGGGATGGCCGGGATGGCCGGGCAGGCAGCAAGGCAGGCGGCAAGGCAGGCGGCCCTGGCCCTAGTCCTGCTGGTCTTAGCCTGCAGCGCCACCGCCACCTCCACCACCACCACCGCCAGCAGCGGCGGAGTGGCCGCGCTCAGAACCACTGCGACAGGTATGGCATGTCTACCTACCCATCTACCTCCCCGCCACGCCCCGCCCGCACCGGGGCCGGCACCGGAGCCACGTCAGCGTGTGTGTGTGTGTGTGTGTGTGTGTGTGTGCATGTGCATGTGTGCATGTGTGTGTGAGGGTGGGGCGGGGCGTGGACCATCAATGTGTGCGCTCGGCGGGTATCGAACCCGCGACCGCGTGAGCCTGCTGTTGGCGGTGCACCAGCAGGTGGCCAGGGCACGGCCAAGGCACGGCCACGGCACGGGGAGGCTGTTCTGGGTTCTGGCATTCCAGAATTCCTCCCGTCTTGAGCCCGGGCGCGCAATGAACGCAGGTCTGCAGGCTGATACCACCTGACGCCCTGTCAGTACTCTGGAATCGCGGAGCGAAGACATTTTATCGGCGGGGCGCTGGCAAAGCCGAATAAGTAGGGCCCAGGTCTTCGTCTTCGTCCACGGCTTCACCGCGACTCGCCGCCCGACCTGCGGCACACCGCCAACTTGTGGAGATGAATTTGGAGGGGATGGGGCGCGACGCACGCTCAAAACCTCGCGAAGTATCTTGAGCTTATGTAAGGTAAAAACTATCTAGTTTGTCATACGAAGAAATGATTCGGAAATTCCTAAGTATTTTCTTTGTCAGCTTATGAATGCTCAAAATACTTTGTTACTACTAGTAGCTACCTTTGTTTGTGAAGCTAAAGATAGTTTGTAAGGTTTCCGGAATGCGAAAGGGGCGGCCGCCTCGGCCACCTCGCTGATAGTCCCGGCAAGTCTGACTCCCCCACTTTGGTGCCATGCTCCGGATTCCCGGACTGATACGCCCTCCTGCCTTGCATGGGCTGGCCTGGCCCGGCCTGGCCATGCCGAGGGACTTTCGCCCTCTGCTGGTAATTGTTGGGGCAGCGTGGCGCGGCCGCGTCGCCGCGTCGCCCGGCTGGGACCATCGTCACGCGCGGGGTGGGTTCGAATCCTGGCCGTGTAAATGTTTTCCCCCGAGTGCATGCAGCCCAGGGCCCCGCCCCCGCCCCGCCCCCGCCCCGCGCCGCGCCACGCATGTTTACGGTCGTGCAGGTGTTATCGGCGTGGCGGCGTTTCGTGTGGGAACGGAATGGCGTCGTGACGGCGTCGTGACGGCCGCAGCCTCCCGCCGGAAGGGCAGGCCAGGGGCCAGGCCGGGGGCGAGGGTTCGACTCCCGGCCTCGCCGTACACGCCGCGTTAGTTTGCGCGGTGGACTCGGACCCCTTCGAGCCTTTGAGTGTTGTGACTGACCGCGCGCAAGACATGCCGAGACTTTGTGAGGGGGTCAATACCGATGAGGTTGGGCGACGGCCACCGCGTCACCTGCGCCACTGGCCACCCTCCGCCGCCACCCACCGCCCCGCCCCGCCGCCCGCCCCCACATGACGCAGGCCGCGGGGCTGCCGCGGGGCTGCCGCCACAGCACGTGCCTCACTGTGGATTATTGACAGACGGACATGACATGCGAGGTTGACGCAGGGGCACCTGCAGGGTGGCCGATGTGGACTCGGCGGACTCCAGGCCCCAGACTGGCGTGCTGTGCTGGATCTGCAGGATCGTGGTCTCGCGCGCCGTCTCGTCCAACCTGTCCTGAGCCTGCCTGGGCTGCCCGGGCTGCCTGGGCCCTGGACCGTAGCGGCGCTGGGCTGGGCCGTCCTGTCCAGGCCGTCTGCGCCGGTAGAGTCCGGGTTCGATCGCACTGCCAAGTCTTGGTTCCTGGCCGTGCCTGGCCGTTCCTGCCGGTGTAGTTACGCCACGCGCCGCCACGCCGGCAGCCGGCATTGGCAGCGAGGCGCACAGACTGGCACACCGGGCTGGAGGCATAGGCTGGAGCCCAGCCAGCCCAGCCAAGAGAGCCCGGCCCGGCGTCAACGACCTCGCCGAGTTTCTACTCCGCCGTCGCCTCGCCGGCTGGCCGGGCTGCCTGCCTGGCCTGGGCAGGGCCTGGCCTGGGCTGCTTGGCCAGCCGACGCTGCTCAGCCAGGCTCTTCTACGCCTCTAGCCACGCGGCCTGGCTCGGCCCTGCTCGGCCCTGCTCGGCTGGAACTCGGCTCGACATCGAGCGGCCCATCCCGATATACACACTGCATTCAGCTGCTTGATTGAATTGGAAGTCCTTCCCGCATCCTTATCCCGAGCGTCCCGCCCTCGGCCGCCCTCGGCCCATGCGTCGCCGCGTCGCCGCCGACACGTCTTGCACTCACTCGGCCGTCGTCCTGGACACACGTCGTGGACACACGTCCTGGACACACGTCCTGGACACACGTCCTGGACACACGTCCTAAACACTTATTGTACTTCAAACGGGAGACTTCGGGGCGTTGCTGAGCTTTGGACTGCCGCCTATGCCACCGCTCTGGACAGAGCGAACGGGACCCGGACTTTCCCCGCGACACGTTGGGCCGCGACCTGGCTCACGGCCTGGCTCACGGCCTGGCTCGCGCCCTCGTCCTTTTTGGCAGACTGTCTCCTGGCGAGCCGTCTTGCATTAGTCTTGCAGGAGCGGGCTGCTGTCCGCAGTCAACGCCCCCTCGAACCCGCAGCGCACGGCGCGGCAGCGCGGCCGGCTCCGCTAGGCTCCGCTGCTGGACATGTTTTACTTCCTGTACAGAAGTGAATCAACTGCTTCCTCTGGCGGCGCGGCGCACGGCCGGGACTCGTTCTACGGATGTTGTGAGTGGAAGTCGCTGGATGCTCTGGATGCTTCGGGCGCCGTGCTGCTGGTGTTTGCACGGATGGCGACTGGGAAAGGAAAATGGGCAGGAAGCGCGCGGCGAACAGGAAACGGCTCGCCGAAAGCCCGCCGAAAGCCCGCCGAAAGCCCGCCGAAAGCTGGCTGGAAGCGAGTCGCGAACACGTTGTGAAGGTGCGTGGGGCGGTGAGCATGCACGTCCCGCCGCGTCCCGCCCCAGGAGAGGGCGCCGCGGCGCGATGTAGGCAGGCCTTAGCCGCGCTGCGCCGTGGTGCGTGGCGTGGCCGACAAAGGCGTGTTTCTTGCTAGTGGGAGTGTGGATGCAGCCCCGATGCAGCCCCGATGCAGGTCAGCGAGAAGAAAGTGGCAGTTTTTGTGGCGGACTGTACTTGTTAGCGCCGCGCCCCGCCTCGCCCCGCCCCACCGGACCGGATTCCGGTGTCTATGCTAACTCTGTCCGGACAAAGGGGACATAAATAAATCCAGCCGGCCGCGCGCCGGGACTGCCGGCACCGGGAGTCGAACCCTCGCCGCGAAAACCCAAAACCGGGGCAGCTGGGGCAACCACGGCGAGGGAAAGGCGATTTTCGGCGCCGCGCACCCTGTCCAAAAAAAACCTTTCGGGCGGCGGACCGGCAGGCTGGCGATTGGCGGTCACGGCCCTCACGGCCCTTCGAGCTTCGAGGCGCCGCGGCACACTGCTGCGGCCGAGGCTGCGGCCGCATTGCGCCAAGTAATCACGCCGGCCTATCATTAGGCGGCAAAAAGCAAGTGAGCGGACTCAGATTTTAGCACCCGGCCGATTCGGCGCGGGGGCTGTTTCAAACAAAGATTCAGAGTTTCAGGACCGGAAGGTGGGGGAGCGAGAGAGTGTTGCCCACCTTGGAGACGTGACGCGGTGACCCCTCCCCACCTTCGTATAACCGCCGCTGATTCAACAGTGCATGCCCCACGGGATGCTTGGGACCCCCTCTTCGCCGTTGGCTGTGCCTTGACGTGCGCTTTTGCCTGTGCCTTTGCCCGTACCTTTGGCGCCACCACACTGTAAAGCCCAGGGAGCGGCGCAGGCGGGCGCAAGCGAGACGGCTGTCGGACGGAAGGATGGCTGCGCGCTGCGCGACGCAAAGAGTCGCAGACACGCGGACGGCGACACCGGAAAGCGCTTACGGCACCACTCAGCCCAGTCCCCCGAGGAAGGCTAAGGCTGACGCCCTCGCTGACGCTGCGCCGCGCTGCACGTCAAGTCGCCCCGCGGCCGCGACGTGGCGTGGAGGCGCCGCGAGGCGGCTTGGCGTTGTCGAGTGTAGGCGCCTACCGCGTTGCCTTCTACGTATTCCTTCTGCGTGGCGCGCGGCCCGATGGCCCTATCTTAGCCAGGCTCCAGCAAGGCTCCAGCAAGGCTCCAGCCGGCGAACTGGAACCCGCGCTGGAAATCCGAGCCTGGAGCGGCAGCAGACCCAACAGGCAGCACGGCTAGGCCGTGTCCAGGGGCCGCCTAGGGCCTCCGAGCCGACCAAGTTTATGGTCAGCACGGTGCGGCGCGGCACCGCAGTGCACGGCCACGCCACGGCCACGCCACGGCCACGCCACGGCCACGCCACGGCCACGCACGGGGCGGCCTGGAGCTCCTGTTGGATACCGCGTGGACGCGCACGGATCGCGCGGCCCTCGAGGACACGGTGTGCGACACTGCTCCCCGCGCACTACCGCGCACCCAGCCCGGCCCGTGCACGTGTGTGTGCGCGCGCGCGTGCGGAATGCTGCGCAGGCCGTGGGCGGGCTGCTGGCTGATTCCGATCACTGCTTCGTCGCCCTGTCTCTCTCGCACCCCTGTGGCAACGCTGTGGCAACGCTGTCACGCCCGGTCTCGCCGCCCCACGAGTGCGAAAGGGAGATACAGAGAGGGCTGTTCGTAATCGGCCTGCCTGGCCGCGGCGGATGTGGCGCGCGACCACACTACTCACCACTCCGTCCGTGCTGCGACGTCTGTGCCGCGACGTCGGTACCCAATTCGCCAAGCTGACTTTGGCGGCCTGGCTTCGCCCTTCGGGCCCTTCGCCCGCCCTGTGTGCCTGGCGGCGATAAGGTCACCAGGCTGCAGGGCTGCGTCTGGCCGGAGGCAGCAGGCAGCGGGCCGGCGAGCGCGGCTGATGGAGGCGGGGCGGGGCCGGGCTATCGGAAGTGACAGTTCGCTGGCAGTGTAGCCAGGTAGATAGGTATGTAACTACGGAAGGTCCCGTTAAGGCGCCCCGGCGGGGTGGGGCGGGGCGGGCGGGGCGATGTCGTTC